CTTCGACTGCAGGACCATCGCCTTGGTCGCCGATCGACAAGAGACCACAACCCGGTGCATAATGTCTCTCGTTGGGGGCGTAAAATAGAGCAACTCTCTCCCTCTCTCTCTCTCGCGCGCCTTTCTATGTCTGCTTCGGCTATGGCAAGATATAAAGAATAGAGAAAGTATGATGAAGATGATGGAATGATGGTATGGACTTGCTCTGAGAATTTGTAAGCAAAGACGGCCTAATGATTGGAGCGAAAGGGAGTCTATATATATTGAGGAACGCGAGCTCAGGGAACAAACGAAAGAGAGAGTGTTTGAAGAACAGAACACAGGCCACGAACATTGCCGGCAAGAAGGCGAGCCACGTAACTACGTTAGCTGTCGGTACACCTCTTGTTTCCCGAAAAGGGTAGTAATGCAAGTGAGTGTTACGAACCCGTTTTGCATAACGACGAGCGGTGGAGATGTTCTTTCGTTGCCAAGAAAGCGTCGGTTTGGAACGTTCAAAGAAACCCTAAAATAAAAATATATCGATCGCATTGTCAAGACGCCAAAGAGATTCACGTCCCATACTGCTTCACTAGTCACGGCACGATAGCCCCGTGTATGCTCTGTCTTCCTCTTGATGCTCTGCGGTTTGCCCTCCTCCACTCATCACTTCTTGCTCAATGATTGCGGATCATTCAATTTCTAAGCATAGATTTGCTGAATCGTCTATCTACTACAACTATGGGAAAGCGGTCTTTACTTAGAGCTAATCGGGCCTGTCCTCGAGAGACTAGGGCACGTCCACCGGAGTCCTGGGCGCGGCCGTGGACTAGATGGAGGCGCCGGGGTCCCGGGCTTGAGACTTGGGGTCTCGGGATTGACCCCTAGGGCCACAAACCCTAGGGTCCCGAGCCCGGACATTGCGGTCCCTAGCCCGGATACCATGGTCCCTAGCCCGAGTTCACGAAACCTGAGCCTAAGCATGGAGGTCTCAAGCCCAATCGCTGAGATCTAATTGTATCTTAGAAAATGAATATTGATTTTTAAAAACCGACCAAAAAAAAAATATTGATTTTTTAAAGAGCAGGGCGTTTTCCTAAATTTAAGGACAAATTTTAAGTTAACTATAAAAAGATTTTCCGCTAATTTAGTGTTCTAACGATCCAAACGCTAAGGAAAATATATAATAGATTATGGGGAAAAGTATCAAAAAAGTCCTAAATCTATTGCATTTATATCAATTCGGTCATAAATCTTTCAATTGGACCAATTTAGTCCTAATCATTTTCACATTGGTACCAATTCAGTCCATCCGGCTAATTTAGGACGGAAATCACCGACATGAACGCCGGTGGTCCTACGTGGCAATGCCAGAAATTTATAATTTTTTCAGATTTTTTTAATGTTTTTTCTCTTTTTTTCTCTTCCAAGAACTGGTTGGCCGGCGAGATCGTCGGCCAACCATCGCTAGCCATAGGCTGGCCTGGGCGAGGGCGGCGACGCCCTCGCCCACCACAAGTGAGGGCTGTGATGCCCTCGCCTGGTCTGGGCGAGGGCTTTGGCTCCCTCGCCTGGATATGGGCGAGGGAATGGCGGCCCTCGCCCGTGGCTGGCGAGGGTCGCCGACCCTCACCCGTGGCTAACGATGGTCGATGCGATGGTCAGCCAGCGAGGTCTGGCAAAAGAAAAAAGAAAAGAGAAAAAAAGAAAAAAAATCTGAAAAAAATATAAAGAAATTATAAAATTTGTCCACGTCAACGCCGGCGTCCACGTTAGTGATTTACGGCCTAAATTGACCGGATGGACTGAATTGGTACCAATTTGAAAATGCTTATGACTAAATTAGTTCAATTGAAAAGTTTAGGACTGAATAAATATCAATATAATAGGTTTATAACTTTTTTGGTACTTTTCCCGTAGATTACGTATACAACAAGGTTACAGGACGGGTGGCCCAATCTAATTGGTCGCTATCTTTTCTTTGTGCAGTATGTTGGCCTTAGCTAGCTAAAAGGTAGAGTCGATTACTGTAGCTCTTGGGGCTTTTTAGAGCTAGGATGGGAAGACTATGCTTCTCTAGCCCACAATGGACAAACTAAATATCTTGGCATGTCATAAATTTTGGAAGATAAAAGGAAAGACGTGTTTGGAGGCGCTTCGGCTGCTGCTTCTTTTCAAAAGTCGCGAGAATGTCCAAAGCCGTTGCCTAACTTTTGGACCTAAGATGCGATTAAACACGTGACCCAGCAAACTATATCACGAGAAGAACTATTGAAGTTGCTCAGAAATGATAAGATGATAGCTCACTAAGTAGCTATTTTCCCCGGATTTATCGCACTGACGTTTTCGCTCGAACATTTTTCTTTTGGTTCTTTCTGGCATCCTTTCGGGACGAGGTCTAGATCCGCGAAATATTTCACCAATTTCATAGACCGATTAATTAAGACTCAAGGCAAAAACGTAAGCGGATGGTTAGGCCATCTCAATGCGGTGAGACTACTAAAAAATTAGTAAGTACGCATGGGGACGCACTTTGAAAACTAAGCAAAAACCACATTTTAAGGAGTACAGCCTATTACCTTTTCTTGGATAAACCGGAAGGCGCGCTTTATGCATCCAAAACGCAATCGACGACTCTTAACAAGCGCCGTAAAAATGCTCTTCTAAGGATGTATGCTCTTCGAAGCAGTGCGTAAGAACTAGTGTTGATGACAACCCGGCAACCCAAAAATAGATGGAAGAGATAAAGTCTTTCTAAAGAGAAACTTCACATGGGAATCAAAGCTCCATCACTACTGGATGCTCAAGCAGCTAGCAGTTGCAGGCACCATGAAGAGACTTAAATGTCTGGAGAACAAACAAATAAGAGTGGACAGTTGTGAGAGATGACGGACATGTTAAAACCGCCTCGCAATAATATGAAAGAGATGAGCATCTTTCTGATCAGTATCGAGACGCAACCTCTTAATTAGATAATTTTACCTCCATCTCTTTCGTGATATGCTCTGCTCCAACGAGCGGGTGCTTATGTTAATGCCAAACTAATGTCGTCGTCCTGATCCTGATTGAAAAAAGGAAGACCCACCAAGGGAATCGCCATCATAAATCAGTTCGAAGCATCTGCATGGCAGAATAATGCCATAGTATGTACGGGCCACGCATGAAACTTTGAAAGCACCTTTCCTTTTGAGCAAAGATAGCAAAACCCTAGAAGCAGCTTCACCCCTACACGTCTCTATCCTCTGATAAGTAATCATCCCTTAGGCTTTGCTCGTGTTCTAACCACGCTACCCTCTAAGGCTCTGCAGATTCCAAGTGGGAGCCACTAGTGCCTTGATTGATTCACCTTCACATCACATGGTTACGAATAAGTACTTTTCAGGCGCTAGCGATAGTTGGTCGCGTTTCTAGACCGCTCTTATAAACCAATCTTTTCACTTTTGGCATCAGTCTTCGATCATCTCCGACCATATCCGCCAGTCGCCTCTATCAACGGTGGCCTCGGCACCACAAACGAAAACCCGCACGCAGATTGATTTCCGCGGAGTTGAGCGGTGCGTGTCGTCGAAGGGGTTGGCTTATCCACCTTTTCCTCCGCCCCAACCCCTCGCCTCCCCTCCCAAGCCCTAAGACCACAACCCACGATACAGGCACGTGCAAGGAAAGAGAGATGTCGAAACTTGGGATGTGGCGTCATGGACCGGTTTTCTGCTTGCATTCCAAAGCTGCCACGAAGCCTCAGCGTCTGGCGCACCAATAATGATCAAGATCGGGGGGGGCTCTCGGGTCTCGAGAACATCTGGCGATTGCGCGGCGACGCGACACGTGTCGTGATGGCAGAGGCCTATACCCGTCCCACATTTCCTAGACGTCGGTCAGGTGAAACTCCCCCTGTCCCTGTTCACAATTATTGGTCGACCCACTGCGGTCGCGACCGGGCGAGACGGATCTCGCTTCCCAAATCCACCCCACCCCTCCCTCCAATTTTTTATTTTTTTGTCTTTTTATCTATCTGCACCGGCGCAATTGGATTGGTTCCTTTTTTCTTCTATCCCCTTTTTCGTTTTTTGGATATTTTTTAAGCAAAAAGTTTAATCCCGTCATTAAAAATTGTTTATGCTCACCCCTCCGTAAAATAGGATCTTGGCGGTTCGCGACCATCATGTTGAGATCGCCCCACATCCATTGTAAAATGAACTAGTGATCGATTTATAAGTTTAAAAAAGAGCTTCACCCTGGTATCAGAGCTCAAGGTTACCAACACATCTGGACCCAATAGTCATATGAGAGAGTTGCGGGTTGTTGCGGCTTCAATCCAGACCCGATGTGTGAGGAGGAGATTGTTGAAGTTATCCCACATCAGTTGTGGAAGGGGCTGGTGGTCGATTTATAAATGTGAGGGAAAGTTCCACCCTTTAAGCTAGCTTACACTTCGAATTGTGCTTCGAAGCTAGAGAAAACGTCCAGTCATTTAAAACCCTTACTTAAATCTGACATCTAGCCCTATGACAAACCCACCTTTAAAACAAGCTCAATATATGCAATCATCATCCAAGGAAGATTGGGAAATTCGACCATTACATATCAAGTATTACGGGTTTTTCTTTCATTTAGGACATCATTGCGTGTTTAAGTGTGACGAACATAGCTATTTCTCTTCCGAAGATAATGAGCTACTTTTTCCCTTTCTATTTCTGCGAAGATAAAACGCAATTTGCACAAATTGATCATATGAAATGAACGGACGGGAAAAATTCGACTTTATTTCACGGGAAAGGGGGGGGACCACATCGAACCCCCCTTCCGCAGCACAACCTCTGCCATGCCGCCACGTCAGATGGGGGCCCCACGTGAATTGTGGATAAAGTGACAAATCCGACGTGGCGGCTCCACCGGCGGGGCATCCCCGTAATTTCGCGGGGCCCGGGGGGATAAAGTAAAGAGGAAAAAAAGGGCCAAAAGAACAAAAGCCTTTCAGCCTTATCCACTCGAACTCCAAAAAAACCTCTATAAAAACCACCTCCATGTCCAAGTCACTCCCTTAAGAAACACTCGAAAAACCAAAACCAGAACGACGAAACGCATACCTCAGTCTCCCCGAAAACGGCCATGGAACCCTAGGAGAGCCCGAACGAACGGAGACGAACACGACATAGTAACTGAACTGCTTGCGCTCGCTCGCTCGCTCTCGCTCCATATCTTCGGATTCTTCTTCCATGGCGACCGCCAGAAACTACATTTGCCGGCCAAGCTACCGGTTCCTCGACGCCGACCTCGCCGCCTCCGCGTCCCGCGACTCCTCCTCCTTCGAACTCGACGAGTCCGACCTCTACAGCTCCCCCCGCCCCGACTCCCCCGACTCGCGCGGCGACCGGCCCGCTCCCAACGCCCGGATCCGCAAGAAGCCGTCCGCCGCGAGGCACCCCTCGCTGCCGGTGAACGTGCCGGACTGGCCGAAGATCCTGAGGGGGGAGTACAGGGAGAACCGGCGGCGGGACAGCTTGGAGAACGGCTTCTTCGACGACGACGACGACGACGACGACGCCAAGGACGACGGGGTAGAAGAGGACGGGGGTCGCGGCGGAAATGGTGGGGGGCGGAGGGATAGGAGGTGGGTGCCGCCGCACGAGCTCGCGGCGAGGACGGCGAGGACGGCGACGGCGACGGCGTCGTCGTCGTCGGTGACGCTGAAGGGAAGGGACTTGAGCAGAGTCCGGAACGCCATCTGGGCCAAAACCGGTTTCCAGGATTGATGAACTTCTGAGGGAGGGATCGTCATTTTCTTCCTTTTCCGAGATTTCTAATTCGAAGATTTTTTTTTTCTTTCTTTTTTTCCTTAATTGATTTTTTTAGTTATTGCATGGCATGATGGAACTCTCCCCTACTTAATTTCTGACTACATATGACTAAAGTCTCCTTGATTGATTTTCGTTCGTACTTTTCGTGAAACTTTTTGGAGTTTACCGGCAGACGTGGCCGGGGGGCATAACGGTAATAAACCGCGAACGTGGGACCCCTCGGCTCCACCGACGGTGGTGGGGGTCCCGATCCGATGCGGCGGGGCCCCACCGCGAAAGTAGATGATAAGAGTTCTTTGATTTTGTCCCTTCACGCAAAAAAAAACAAAACAAAGAAAGAGGTTGGAGTTACATGATTGAAGGTAATTCGCATTTACGTGATAAGCACACGCTTTTGCGCTCGACTACTTCAATCTACTACTGATGAACAATCGCATAGCATCTATGTGCCGACGGCGATTATGGTGGTTTGTATTTTGATCTTGATCTAAATTGCTGCCAAAGCCGGAAATTGTTGATACTGAACTTGGGATCCGCTTGCCGGACGACATCCCCGCTTCCAGAATTGATCCGCAACATAAAGTCCGGGTTGAGGCGTCCGGATTTGGGACTCGGGTTGGTGTTCCCATACTCGGAATCGGTGATTGGAAGGGGAGGGGTGCAGAGGATTGAACTAGGGTTTTAGAAAGCCCGACGATTTACTTGAACGAGCTCTTCACCTTGCCTAGGCATTTCTCTTGGTAGGTTGTTAGGCCGCGGTTGACAAGCAGTGGCAATTGGTGATTCCACCGTTATAGACACTCGGCACCCAAGCAATGTGTAGTGCACTATAGTGATCCAACCGTTTTGGGGATCAGCACATACACACCGACTTTCTAATTATCGGCGGCAACCTTGTCATTGCCAAATAGATAAGGGTAAAGTGGTGTCTGATCTAAACCCAATGCGGTCGAAATGAATGACCTCCCAAATGGTATAGTACTGTCGCGTCAATCCCGTCACTTTCCCATGTGGAGCTCTATGATTGGAACCAAAATAAATAAGCGAAGCCTCTATATAAGTCCATTTTTAGGGCATGACCTCGGGATCAAACTTGAATCTCAACGATTAAAAATAATCGATCAAACACGATAAATTGGCTCTTGAGCGTCCAAAAGGCCACCTTTGATGAAGAGGACCCATATTGTCATGTGGCTGTCCATTCTTGTTTTTCTTTTTTCAACAAGGCATGACCTCTTCGAAATCATGACTAAACAAGATGATTCGTGGATTCTAATTGCCAGAAAATCATCATCGACCTTTAATAAAAAAAAAATCAAAATAAATTTTGACACAAGGTAATTTATATCACGATCCTAAAGTTCATTTGTTATTTTTTTTATCCAGGTTTGGATCCTAATCTCCAAAAATTAGGAAATTAACTCAAAATAAAAACGGGTCTCAATTGACGACCGACTCGAGAGAGGCTAGCCGGCGTCGTGGCCCCCTCGGCCGTTAGATCTCTGGTGCACTTTTCATGAATCATTTCATTGTACTCTTCAAGTTTCTGGTTAAATTTTTCTTCGTTCCCCTCTATTTCGTTCGATGATTTCACAATTTTTTCACCTCGCTAAAGTTTGTATTCACCGGCCTCGCTCGTAATTATAGTAGTAGAAACGAACTAAATTTAAATATAGCCAAAAAATCATGACAAATAATCAAAAATCGACTCGAGGATATCCTTGGAATTTATGTGACATGCTAGAGTCGATCCAAAATACATAAATGACGGGATTAGAGATATGAACTTAGTCTAGTACACTATAGCTGATCAATTTGTTGAAACTAAAAAAAAAAGGAACAAAAAAGAAGAAGAAATCAATGGAATGTTATTCCATCTTGTATTATTTGTTGTGTACATAAAATGCAATGGGCTCGATCTAAGCAAGCTTTGCTACCAATAAGAGAAAAAGGGCTAAGGCAGTCCTGGTCATGACACGTGTATGGGCCGGATTGTCTGCGGACAGAAGCCCAAGAGGTTAACTCACGGGCCCGTTCTATTCATTCGAATGAAGTTAAGCTTTCCATATGGTATTGAATTCACCCTATACGATAGTACCCGTAATCCTAACCAACTTGATCTAGGGCAACAAATATGCACGAGCCATTTCTCGACGTATGCGTTTGAAAAGCCCAAACACATCTTTCTCCCTATTTTGGATTTTAGCTCCACGGAACTATATGCTATTCTCGAAATACGGAAAGGGATAATGACACAAACAGTCTCTGAACTTTGCCCTTAATGTGCAATTTAGTCCATGGACTTTTAATTTGTTCAATCTAGTCTCTAAGCTTTAGCCTAATGTTCAATATGGTCCTTGAACTTTAAATTTGTTCAATTTAGTCTCTAAACTTTTGGTACATGTTCAATTTAGTCCCTGGACTATATGAAAATGTTCAATGTAGTCCCCGAATTTGAATTGATGGATGGAAGGACTACATTGAACATTTTCATATAATTCAGGGACTGAATTGAACATGTACCAAAAGTTCATGGATGACATTAAACAAATTAAAAGTTCGGGACCACATTGTACATTGAGTTAAAATTCAGGGACTACATTAAACAAATTAAAAGTTCAGGGACCAAATTGCACATTGAGCCAAAGTTTAGAGACTGTTTGTGTCATTTTCCCATACGTAAAGGTCTAGGTAGGCTTATTTGTCTTAAGTGACATAAAAAAGGAGGAGTTAAGTACTCTTTTTTAATGACTTAATTTTTTAGGAAAATCGGAATTGTTAGAACCGACGTTCCTTTTTGAAGGGCCGAATAGAAAGGATTTCGGTTATAGTTTTCCTTGCGATGGTCCAGGACGAGGCGATATTTCAACAAAGATGTGGATCATGAAGGATTGCTCGACGAAATATGAATAGGAGGAACCTCAAAGTGGCTCTATCTCATTGTATTTCATCCATATCTTAGGGGTTATATCACGTATGAAACTTAATAGTATGCCACTTCTACGGATAGCTTGTAATGCCGCATCTTTTATACTTCCTTACCGTGGCAAGTCTTTGCGAAATAACTCCAATGAGAAGAAAAAAGAAGGCGTTAAAAGACGGCCCCGTTGAAATAAGATCCACATAGGAAAAAGCACTTATTTGTTGATTACTAGGAGCACATGTCAATAACTATAATGGAAAAAAAAATGGGAATGTCAACGCATGTCTCTTTCTCCTTCAAGTTTACCTACTATAGTACCAGCGTGAATATGATCTCCACCGGCCAATTGAGTGGACCAAACTTGTGCCTGTCCTCTTTCATTGAAGAGGAAAATAGACTGGCTATCTCATTCTATGGATGACGTGATAAGAAAGCGGCGATTTGAAGTAGGTTCACATGGAGTTCATGGCTTAACAAGAACAATCCCTCGTTTGCGCAACTCGATTGGCTTAATTTAGTCGGTCGTGATAATGCAAATGCAAGTTTTACGCCATCTGTCGCCCAATTCGGGATTAGATGAAGATAGAACGATGGTTTTGGTCACTAACCAAGTACAGTAATCGCCCGAGCTCCACACTAATCATATGTGGAATCTCCTTCTACCCGTTGCATCCACTTTGATGGTGCCCTTTCTCCGGGCAAAAGTTTGCACTCTCCGTTGTTAATCGGACATCCATGGACACGATCCGTTATTATAAAGGGAATAGGAACATATCGTAGTTTGGTTTCTTCGATGTTGTAATTTCATCTGCCTTTGCGAAGGAGGGATTGGTTACGATAATCGAATCATCGTTAGGGAGGATTTCATAAAATTCAAAGGGCGAACGCCGACTTAGGATCAGACCATGACGGGAGAGCCCTAAAATAAGAAGTAAAACTCCCTCGACGAAAATAAAAGAAAAATGGAAAACAATGTGCTGTCTACATTAGATGAACGCATTGACCTTAGATGACAATGTTATCGGCGGGTGGTTACAATACACTTATCGAGAAATCAAATCATCATCGAAATGTACATCGAAATGCGTGAAAGCGGTCTTCCGCATTCACCGCCCCTTTCACTAAAAACCTAGAATAAATGTTGCATTTCACATCAAAGTAATTTAATAAGAGCATAGCATTTTCTCCATGTCATTAATCACGTCGTCTCTCTCTAACGAAGACTATGGAGCAACGCATTGCCCTAATTGTTGAATTGGCCGCCTGCCTTCAGCTTGTGTGGAGATTCCAAGTCAAACAGAACTTTAAATACCGCGCTCCCCACAGTGGCATTCTCGTAATTTTCCACGGTCAACTTTCACCAATTTTGGAGGTTAAAAAATTAAAAGCTCTGCTCCTTCCACTTTAATTTTTTTCTGCTCATTTTCATTAAATGCCAACTGACCACTAAGCTCCCCCCCACCACAAAATAATAATAATAATAATAATAAAATGATATCAATTTGAATAATCCGTGAAAGTCTAACCAGAAGGAGAAGGGTATTTTCGTCATTTCATGCGGGCATTCCCCCGTTTGATTATAGTTCTCCTATTTCCTTGGCCATCTTTCTTTCATTACAAACTCTTCTTATATTTATGAAAAAGGGAAAAAAAAGAAGAAGAAAGTTCGCCCAAATAGAAAAAGGAAGAGATATGAAGCTACATGTTGTCAATTGGGCGATACATAGCTTTCAGTCTATCTTGTCATGCAAACATTACTATAGAAAGATTACTCGCATAAAAAAAAAACTATAGAATGAATTCACATGCTAATCTGTTTGATTTGGTTTGAAATCTTTCTAACAAGTCAATTTTAGCTGTCAATCAAATCAGGGTGTTTTTGATTGGGGGAAAACTTCCTAATAAAAAAAAATGTTTTCCGTAGAAATTATTTTTAGAGAAAATAATTAGTCTTTATTTGTTTGTGGTATGCTGAAAATGTGTGATCAAAGACATTTTCGGGTGCTCAGATTTCATTTAGAAAATGGGTGTTGTGTTTTGCAAGCCATCGAGGTTTTTCATCCGCGAAGAGCTAATAAAGAGCACATCGCGAAGAAGGTGAAGAAATTGACGAAGAAAAGTGAAGAAAGTGAAGAGGAACGTTTGTTAAGAGTCACCCACCTGCGCATGGCCGAATTGGTGGGCGCTTTCCTTCCCTCCCCAGAGGTTCTGGGTTCGAATCCCCTCTCGGTTCCGTAATTTAAGTGAGGGGCCATGGCGGTGGGTTGCTGGGCTAGTCTCCCCCGAGGTATAGGCGCCCCGATTACCCGTGCGGGCTCGACCCCGGGGAATGGTGGCGGATCCTCAGTTACCAAAAAAAAAAAACACGTTTGTTAAGAGTCTTAAATGCTTTGGAAAATTAATTTTCCCTATTCAATATTGAGAGTCCATTTTCTTAATTTTAGTATGATTATTTTCATTGATTTGTAAGTGTTTTTCTGCTAACTAATCATTTTCGTCAAACCAAACGCGTAAAGAGTGCAGAAAACTAATTCGCAGAATATCTTTTATTCAAACAAATACACCCTAAAAATAATTCGGAGTGACTTTAAAGCTGATGATTATAGTTTTGTAAAGATCTAACGTGCTTCGTGTAGGAAAAGGCTCATATTCTTGACATTAAGGACGAACTTTCGGAAGTCGCAAACTATATCGAATTAGATAGTATTTTGAAAAAAACATTCGATTAATACACTGTATTTGATTAATATTTCGTTGTGGAATCTGAATTGTATGAAAATGACAAAACCCCCGATCCATTTATAAGATACTTGAAATGACTTTGAACAGAAAAGGGAACGATTAGGTTAGTGGGGTTGTGGAAATTAGTGAGATACTTTCTCATTGCCATGATGATGAAATGAGTTGACTGATGTTGATCCACAAAACGGCAAGGGTTGTCATCAATGATCACATATGCTGCCAACATGAAAAGCATGTAATAACTTGAAATACAAATACTTTAAAAAAATATTTTTTTTATAAATAATCGTTTATAAAAATGAACAAACAAAAAAATATTATTATTGTTCACAAAATGTTCAATAATGAAAATATATTTTATTGGCTAATTATTTCAAATGATACAAGCTATCATTTTAATCATTCATTTTCCACGAAACAAACGGAGCTTTGATAACAAATTCAACCTAGCAATGCTATATATGTTTAACTTATTTTACCATTAAATTACTCAAAAACGGACTCGATTCTTTTTCGGGCGATTCGCTATTTTCGGGTATCATGATTTTTGAGGGAAATGCATGGAGTTTCACTATGATTCATCATTAGATTTTCAATAATCCGAATCAGAATCGTCATAATTATAGCATAGTGTTACGGGCCGGCAGTTCCTTGGTCGCGGAATAGCCCGTGTGGCGCCTAGCGCATCATTCACATCATGGCAACCCTCGTTCATTAGCTGTTCAATATAACACTTTAGGTACGACAATTAGTTTCGGCCTGCCTTGACCTCATCAGGAGAGCGGCATCAGCTCCCTACTGGTTTGTGCACAGGAGGCCAACCCCCGCCTTCAGAGCTCCTAAAGTATATTAGAACTCTTATCACCCGCCATCCAAACACCACTTTCACGACCCAGTTGTATTTATTCCTTATGCGTCCTCACTCTTTACTCGATAATCCCGAACACCACTCACAAGAGTATAGGAGCACGAGAGAATCACGGTCCGTGACAATAGCGTGAAGGAAAGATCATACGTAAATAAAGGGTATGTTATGTTCATGCTTCGTCAAAAACAAAAGACAGCTCTTTGCTTTCTCCTCACAATCTAAGACATTATCTATATGTCAAGAATTATACAAAGAAAAAGAACACGGCACGTGAATCTAGCGTGCCAAAATTATAGTGTTGTAAAAATTAAAAGGTATAAAAAGGTAAAAAGGAAAAATCAAAGTTAGATCTGATTAAGCAATCGACATCATATCAAGAAAAAGAGTGAAAATATCACTATTAACCAAATGCCTTTCGCAGAAGACAATTTGGAATTGGCATACTTTGCGGCTTTTGCCAATTCAACGCATTGAATCGAATGCTCCGTTAACATAATACCGTCTTCAAAGATATTGAATGCAGCAAACTGCAGAGTTTTCGTTCTTCTTCATTAATAAGTAAAAAGAAAAACTTTTTCATAACATCAGCCGATATTGAAAATTCTCGATCGAAATTCAATTTTTTATGAAGCGACGTTAGGTATTCTATACACATCCGGTGCTCCTTTTAGTCCAAGTTGAGGACGATACTATACGAAATATGACCGGTCGATCCCGTGGAATTTCATGGCCGAAATAGAATAAAATAAAAAGGAAAATACGCGGAGGAGAAAAAAAATGGAAAGAAAAATAGAAATTTTAATCAATTTAAACAAAAGCCGCAAAGAAAATCTACGAAAAGATCACATCCCATGCAGCAAAACTTTCTGTTGACTCCCATCCATATATATATATATATATATATATATGTATGTATATAATGTATAATGTATAATACATATAATATATAATAAAACTCCTCAAATAAAATAATTAAAAAAAAATAGAAAAAAGAAGAAAAAGAAGAAGAAAGACCCCATTTCATAATTTCACCCATCTCCCTCTTCTCTCTCCTTCCTTCAGCTCTGGTCTTCAGTCTTCGCTTTCTCTGCCCGAAGAAAATCAAACCGCGTCTCTCTCTCTCTCTCTCTCCCTCTCTCTCTCCAACCCTAAGCAGAGAAAGTCTCGATCTTTCGCCGGAGGAATGCGATCTCCGGCGAGCCCCCGCCCGTGAGCGAGCGCCTCCTCCGTCGTCTCCCCGGGGACCTCGACTCGCTGCTCGCCGCCGGCGCCGGCGGATGCTCTCGAGCTAGGGACCGGCACCGGCAGCAGCTGGTGGTTCGACTGCCGTCGCGAGGGGGCGAATTTCGGCTTCGAGAAGCGAGGCGGGCGGCGGCGGCGACCATGTACAAGAACCAGCTGCAGGAGCTGGCGCAGCGGAGCTGCTTCAACCTCCCCTCCTACGCCTGCATCCGGGAAGGCCCCGACCACGCGCCGCGCTTCAAGGCCGCCGTGAACTTCAACGGCGAGACCTTCGAGAGCCCCAGCTACTGCTCCACCCTCCGCCAGGCCGAGCACTCCGCCGCGGAGGTCGCCCTCCACTCCCTCGCCACTCGCGGCCCTTCCCACTCCCTCGCCGCTCGAATCCTCGTGAGCTTTCCCTTTGGCCCTCCCTCGTCTCGTGCTATCCGATCGCCGTTTCGCCTGTTTGCCGCTTTGATGCGTCTCTGTATGACCGCTGTGGTGTTTGATTTGGAAGTAGCTCTACTAGATGTCCGTTTCTCTCTGATTAGGTCTCTAACCGTCCATAGGTGCCGTTTTAATGCGCCGGTTCTGGCTGCTCATGCGTCTCTAACATGCTTGCGTGTTGAATCCACGGTGTATGTGTGTGTGTGTTTTCGGCAATTTCAGCGACATGGGGAAATGGATCCAAGTAAAGTCAATTCTTTTTTACTTTTCTGGCTTCTGTATCATCTCAATCAAGCAGACCTATAAACTTTGGAGCTAAACAAAGAAATTTATGATTCCGTGAAGCGTAAAATTGTCAGAGTACTCGATTCTTGCAATCATGCTGATGCGCCATCACAATGCTTCACCGAGTGTTACTTTTAAGATATTCGCGAGAGTTAAAATGGGCAATTCAAGATAGAGGTCTGGCTGGTTCTTGTTTTGGGAGATTTAGGAGCTGGCACAATAAAAAGCCTAGGATAATAACTGAGCAGACTTGGGGGTGAGGATTCTTGGAGAACTGTAGGCATCGTGGTTTCTTCTTTCTGATGGTTCCGAATTTCATTTTACATTTGAGTTTCTTTTCTCTGTTCAATCTACATCTGAGCATTATAGTTTCATAGGCAATTTGTGTCCTTTTCTTTCCACTTTCTCAGACATAGAGTTGGATAGTCAAATGACATATTTGTTGATTAGTGGGTTAATGGTCATTGCTCTTAAGCGGCCACACCTTTTATATACTTTTTGTCATCATCATTAGTATTTTGTTTAAGTTTAGATTTAGTAGTGGTCATCGTTAGGTAGGCTCAGGCCGGGTCTCTCCTAATATGTTTCCGAAGCCCGCCCATACAACAGAATTTATAAAGCAATTTTCGGGCAAGTCTTTCTCATGTAAGACCTTTGCCCAAGCCAGTCCATTTACCTCGTGGCCTGCCCATTGATCGCCTTTACTTGTGAGGATATCCATCATTGCAGGACAAGTGTTCCTTTCTTAATTTAAATGTGTTTTCCATTGTTAGGATGAGACAGGGGTTTATAAAAACCTCTTACAGGAGATCGCACAGAGAGTTGGAGCTCCATTGCCACAATACTTAACATTTCGATCAGGCCTAGGCCACCTGCCTGTGTTTACAGGCACGGTAGAGTTAGCTGGAATCATTTTCACTGGAGAACCTGCCAAGACAAAGAAACAAGCAGAAAAGAATGCAGCAATGGCAGCTTGGTCGTCTCTGAAGCAATGTAAGCATTTCTAAATTTTATCTGGTCAAAGTTTTAAATATCATGCGATAATTGCATGCTATGCTGGTAAAGAAAAAAGCCTAAACACTGCCTCGCGATACTTGCATGCTATGCTTGTAAAAGAAAAGGCCCAAACACTGCCTCCGGTTTTTTTCTTTTCTATGCAATGTTTCAGTGCATAAATCCTGTTGAATCTCTCTTAATGAAAGGCAGGCTCCATGGGTTTTTAAAGGTGATTTGAAACTAAATAGTGTTGTGTGTGGTTGTCATTTTCCTGATTCCTGTGTATCTTACTTTATGCGCGATTGTTACGTTGTCTTAGGACAACATCTTTATTGCTGAAGATGAGGGTTCGAGGGCCATAAGAATGCCAACTAGAATTGTGTCGCATTTATAAAAAAAAAAAAACCCACTTGCGGTACACTCTGTTTGTGGTTAAGAGAGGGGTTATTTTGGACTGGAGTGATGACAGGACCTACTTTGAGTACACTTTGTTTGGGGCTAAGACCGGGGTTGTTTTAGATTGAAGTGATGGCAGTTTCTGGAAATAGTTTCAGCTAACCCACCTTCAGTGATTTATCTAGCTTAAGGCACATAAGACTGCTTCTTTCCCTTCCTGCAATAGTGTCAATTCCTGTATTTTTGTTAGAGCGCTACTCTCCCACCTGATATGGTTCCATAGGTGCAAGCCTTTTAGAGTAATGTCGATTCTGCTGCATGTGTGGATGAGTTAGTCTCTGATATTTGAATATTGTTGACTTTTCATTTATGTGCAGTGTCGAAAGAAACTGCTAGTACATCATCTGAGCCAGAGCACAATGATGAGCTGGAGCAGACAACAATAGCACGAGCTTTACTTAACTATCGTTCAAAGGAGAAGGTAGCATTGGCCAACTCCCCCAGCGGCTCGATACCATTTGCAAAGAAGTTTCAAATTCAAAATCTAAGACCACCTAGCCCACAACCTCCACCTGTCGCCACATCAAAGATCCTTCCTCTATTTTGCCAAAAAGCAGCTTCTCGAGTCAGACCTTCACCAACATCCACAAATGATAAGCCCTTGCCAGTTCCAAGGTCTCCATCTGTGGAATCTCGTGGGGCCCGCCTGCAGAAGTTCCCAGCTGCTGGAGCTGCTCCTTACGTCCCCATTCAGCAGTTTAGGGCACCATGCCGTGGTATTGCACCCCCAGTGACAATAAGAACTGTAGCACCAGTATACGCCGCTCCTCTCCGTCTACCACCTTCAGTGAGATTGCCACCTCCAGTCGTGCAGGCATCACCAGTGGGTGTCGCCCCACCTGTCTGTACCAGACAAGCTGTGCCTGTATTTACTGCACCACCGGCCCAGAAGGAGAATCCTCCTACAGTTTACAAAGAACCTCCTGTTCTCAATTCTCCTGTTTCATGTGATGCGTCTCTATCTGTTATGGACGAAAGGAAGACTGCAACTGCCAAGCAGCAGCAAGAATCTGAGGTAGCACAGAAATTGAAAGAACTTGAGATTTGAGGGGTGTTATGGGAAAATTAGGAATTTGTGAACAGTGTTATGGCTCCTGTTGCCTTAGGTTTGTTTTTTTGTCTTCTCACCTTGTTACATCAGTGCCCTTCTCTTCTGATATATTCTCTCTCTCTCTCTCTCTCTCTCTCTCTCTCTCTCTCCCAATTTTGCTTTGTCCTCTCTCTTCTGATGATGGAGTTGTCCAGTTCTCTTTCTGAGCTGCATATGCAATAGGTTAAATTAGCTAGCTTCTGTTCTGAAGATGCGGCACTTTTTGCTGCGGCACTTTCTTCAGATTCAGCAGCTGCCCCATTCCCTTTTTCTCCTATCAGTAATTCATGAACATTTTGGGTTCGCGAGTAGTGATTTGAATTATATTGTCCCGTTCTTGACTCGTAATCAATACGAGCTTGAAGTTTCATTCGCAACTTCCAGAATTTGTTCGTAGAGGCTTCGTTCCATGTCTCAATGATAAAACCGAGACAAGAGTATGATGCATTTAATGAACTTTGTTTGCCGCGTCGCCCCTGAAGGGCCCGCGCATTGTGCTGGCAGCAGTTGGTCGATAAAGCAGAGGATCGTTCAGATATTTATGCACGTAATGAGTGTGACGTGACATGATCCGTTCCGTGAACCTTTACAATGAGTGCTTTCTTTTTGAGAACCAGAGAATCTGCTTCTGATGGATCGGATGATTGAGAAGGAGAATCCGTCTGGTTCCCTCCTGAGAGCAACAGGCAATGGAAGGATGTGTGATGATGTGAGGCTTAAGCATATTTCAGGGTTTTGCAACTTAGGACGCGAATGGTAACCATTCTGCTTCAGAAATCAAATTCTTGCCAAAAATTGATTTCTGGAGGAGAAATCTATTTGGTAAAACATGACTAATTCTGCTCTAGAAATTGATTTCTAGAACAGAAATTTGTTTTGATTTGTTGATTTTTTTTGCACCTAAAAAAATTAAAATTTTACTTAAAGTGGGTGACCATAGGTATTATAAGCCTTTCTGTGAAGTTTTGAAATTTTTGATTTTTTTTGGGTACCTCAAAAAATTTAAATTTCACTCAAAGTAGATGGCCACAGGTATTCTAAGCCATTTTGTAAAGTTTTTAAATTTTTTATTATTTTATTTTATTTATTTTTTTGGGCACCTCAAAAAATTTAAATTTTACTCAAAGTCGGTGGCCACAGATATTATAAGTCATTCTGTGAAGTTTTGAAATTTTTAGTTTTTTATTTTATTTTTTTGGGCACCTCAAAAAATTTAAATTTTACTCAAAGTGGGTGGTCACAGGTATTCCAAGCCATTTTGTGAAGTTTTGAAATTTTTTTATTTTTTTTATTTTTTTTGGGCACCTCAAAAAATTTAAATTTCATTCAAAGTGGGTGGCCACAGGTATTTTAAGCCATTCTGTGAAGTTTTGAAATTTTTGATTTTTTGATTTTTTTGGGCACCTCAAAAAATTTAAATTTCACTCAAAGTGGGTGGCCACGAGTATTCTAAGTCATTCTGTGAAGTTTTGAAATTTTTGATTTTTTGATTTTTTTTGGACACCTCAAAAATTTAAATTTCACTCAAAGTGGGTGGCCACGAGTATTCTAAGTCATTCTGTGAAGTTTTGAAATTTTTGATTTTTTGATTTTTTTAAAAAAATTCACCAAATTTCATATTTTCCCGAAATCTAATTTTTTTTATTTTCTGGAAATTTTTATGAAATTTTCTAGAATTTTTCAATTTTTATGCATTTTCTGAAAAAAAAAATTTGTGAGAAAAGAGGGAGAATGCATTCCGGAAGAGAGAAACTACAAAAAGTAGCGTTTCTTTTTCTTGCCAAAAACTTATTCTGGAATCAAGAATGCATTATGGAATCAAGTATTTTTAACAAACGCATTTCTATTCCAGAATGTAAAAATCGCTCCAGAATGTATTCCGGAAATTTTTTAACAAACGCATTTCTGTTCCGGAAGGCATTCTGAAACAGAAATTCTGCTCCAGAATGGATTCCATGCGCAGCCCTTAGTAGCTCCTCTCCTGGTGTAATTTTTCTGAGTCTTTTTGAGGACTAGTCACGACAGCGGTGCATGAGCTTTTTGATACCTGCGGATGCCTGACGCACCTGACGTTTTCGGTCCGAGCTGTCCTCAAGGTACTTGTATTCACTGTTTTAGTCATGCCTTTGGCTTGTTTCCCATCCATCAAAGGACATCCTCCACAATGTCCGAACCTTCACGTTTTCAGTGTTGAACGTCAATGTTCGCGATTAATAGAGTATTGGTAGATTAGGTTGGGTCGATTATACGCATTATGCAGCTCCAAAGGCATTATAATCATGTGAGCGAATCAAAATTTCTTTTAGCTTATTAGGGAGCGGAACACCATAGCATGTTCCTCTGTCCCGTATCGCAAATGCAGGGGTTGGAAATTGGTTCCATGGCATCTAATGCAGACGTATGTCACCAAAACTTAGTGTGCATTGAGACTGTTGTATCAGGCCTGCCGCCATTCCCGTTACACAATGCCTTCACACCTACATAAGTGAACAAAGCCAGCATTTGTAAAATCCAATAGAAAGCAAAAGAAAAACCCTTCCAGAGCCAAACAATGCCACGAGGCTGGTCCGACCAATTCACACTACATCGTCAAGACTCGCCCCGGCCTACTTTACAGTCCTATTCACAAAAGACACGACTCGAGCAAGTCTATGCCTTAGGGGTATCGAGAAAAAAAAATTATGGCACACCAGAAAGGCTCTTCAAATCCGAGATGGAGTTTCCAGCTGGCTTCCTTCTTCTCCTTAGTCCTGCCTCGCTATGTCTTCATCGGGATGCCAGCGACCAAAAATTGAAAAGAAAAGATGGCAAAGCAACAAACCAACTAATGAATGCCATCGCTGTGGCAGTTTCAAACTGTGCACAGTGGTTCCGGGAACAGTTAGAGAGATCATTGTCAATAAGGACTGTAATGCCTGCCGATGCACATGCTGCTGCAAATATGAGAGTGGAAGTGATCTGCGAGTGCAACGCAAATGCAAACAATCTTAGAATTCTTTCTGAAGACCAGTTACCTATAGTATGATTGTGATGAACACAAACTCGACATTCAGAACCTAGACATCAAACATTTGATCAGCAGGAAGCATGATATGAAAAGGTGCGATTGCAAAATAAGATTAACCTTCATATGAGAAATCCAATCTAGGTTTTAACTTTCTTAATTGAATAGGTCAAGTCCATTTGTTAGCCCCGTCAAATTTCGAATCAAGCTCGAAACACTTACTCTTCGACCCTTAAGCAGGTCAAAAAAGTCACATGCTTGTGAAAAACACATCTTTACCAGGTCAAACAACTTTCAACCAATGATAACATATCAACGATTTTCACAAGAATCATGACTTAAAGGTGACAACCCAAGAGGATTCTTACATTGAGGAACTCAGATAGCATGGAAAGCAAACTCTAAACACAACTCTAATTGTTTAATTCTGTCAATAAACAAGATTACATCTTCTAACGGCACACATATACTGAGGCATACTAGAAACCTAACCCTATGAAAAATAGTTTATCCTTGGCCAAAAAAGATTATTTTGGAGGTTGAACTGTAAACAAGATTATTTCATTGAAAATCAAATGTTTATCCTTGGCCAAAAAAGGAAAAATAGTTGATCTCAAGTCAAGCCTGAAGCTCCCACAAGGATAACTGAAAATGACCTCATTTTGGAGGTTGAACTGTGCATCAGATTTTCTTTAATGGTCCAACCGATGGAGGTAAAGACATTCAATTGAGCCTCCTTAAGTTTTGAAGCGTTTTGAAGCCATAAATTGCTCCACAAGAGGTTTGGGACACCAAAACTGATTCCAATTTATGAGTGTAAGGATTTCTAATTTATAATCCAATACAAACACTTCCAAAAAAAAAAAAAAGTCACTCAAGCAAACTGATGTCACAAAGACAACCAACAGACTGATGTTAGTAAAGTAACTTTGGAATATCCTCTGGGATAGATGGGATAGATGCTACGGTCAGTTCACCCCTGTCAGTTCCCGTTCAGACACTTACAATGTCAGTTTAACAACATACTAACATTTCCTCCAGTGGTAACAACTACTGCCTGTACAATTAAGCTAACCTATAATCACATTGCAAGTATATCATCTGCTCTCTGTCCTCCCCCAATCCAACCACAGAGAGAGAGAGAGAGAGAGAGAGAGAGAGAGAGAGAGAGAGAGAGAGAGAGAGAGATCATCAACTTAAGCTATATCCTAAGAAACAAGTATGAAGGAAAGAGGAGGAGAGGAGAGAAGAAGAAAGGGAATGGTAAGGGCAGTGGAGGGTGAAGGGCTTAGGTTGGCCAGTCAGCTGGAACAAGACAGCTTATAGTCGCCTGACAAATATAATCAAGAGCAGTAAAACTAACCGTGGAAATGAATCTGCAAGTATTCTACCATAAATTTCGCATTTAATAAAGGAAAACAAGATGTCAGCAGGTGGGGAGGAAACTACTCGAAATGCACTAATGGAATTGCACCCCAACATTGGCAGACGATGAAACTTTAAGAATTCATCTTAGGGGAAAGGATCAAGAAAGAAAAATGCAAACATATATCAGATCAAAAGGGGATCCTCTGTTTTTTGTCCATGAAACTACTTGGTATACATATCTTACCCCATCACCCATGGCAAAGAACACCACCACTCGATAATTCTGCAGCAAGCGCCCCACTAGAAGGGCATATATGTCCACAACAGCCAATGAAAAACTCCATATGCTCTGTAAGCCAGTAGCTGCTACAAGATAGCTGATACAACAGATATAAAAAACTTCAGTGGATAAAGTTATAAACAGAATGAATAAGGCCTGGTACCGCATATTATTTAGTCAACCACCAACACGAACCAGAAAAGGTTAAATTAGCAGACATGGAAAATTTATAATATCGGATGCAGGCATCTCTGACAAAGTTCTCAAAGCCTCATGAGCACAAGAACCAATCAAAGGCTCAGTGAAGGTTGAGCAAATGCAACCCAGACATAGGTTATAAACAACCATTATCTCTTGAAAGACTCTAATGGTCCCATCAACTATGATGACAGTAAATCGCGTTCAAGCAAGACAATGATCACCCAACCCAGTCATCAACATTGCAATCTCAATGTTCCCATGGAATAACAAAGATACAACTTCGGATAAGTATGTCAAATTCCTTTTTGTTGTACTGTCACAAGCAAAAACCTTGATCCAAAGAAAACTATATAAATATATACATAGAATCAAAGGGAACATTGCGTAAACTGTCTTACAAGAATAACGAAGATCACACATGACGGTAGTAAAGGATAAGGGTGGCGAGGTCCAGGTAGATACATTCCGTGGTAACTAGTTCCAAAACTTTTGAAAGTATTTAGCGTAAAAGGCCCCTTGATTACCGAGAATAGAGCCAGTGGAAAGGGAATGAGATCCTTGTTCCCTTTCCTAACAAAATTTTGTAGCTTGGATGAAGGGGAATGGAAATCGAAAATTGGAAGGAAAAGTGCTCCATTACCTTGTTTTCACTAATATGAGGAAAGGTGAGAATGAGAAAAATGTAACCATCATGGTAACTTTTATAAATAGAGCAATAACTGGGGCTTCAATTTGCAAGTTTCTTTTGGGGTCAAAAAAGAGCTTTTGCAACTTTCTTTCAAGAAGAAAATTTGAATGGTAAAAATAATTTTTATATTTACCATTTTCATAGATTTACAGTAATTCGAATATATAGAATTCAATTCCTATATTCAATTAAGGTGTTAACAAATGAGGAAATTTAGATTACTATGACTCGGATTCCTTCTCATTTCTTCCGATTCCTTCTATTTTATCCTCATCGCCTTTAATCAAATTAACCAAACTAGACCTAAGGCTGAGAATTACCAAGAAATCTACCTTATAGCCTCTGCTGTTGATCCAACCAAGTAAACTATGGCAATTACTCATGATGCAACATATAACTGCATTCCTTGAAACAGAGAGTCTGCCAGTAGTAGACCAACAGACCTGGAAAGGGAATGACCATTCTAGCGAAGAGTGCAAAATGCAGCTCACCCATAAAGAGAAAGGTAGTTCTTCTTAACAATTGGTTAGCTTTGAATTAAAAAAATACTGGATCCAAGATTTAATGACACTCAGACATTGCAATGTCTGTGATGAAAGTCCCTAGAAATAGACTTAATTTGAGTCCTCAATGATGAATTCCATTTCTTCCTAGCTGTCGCACAAAGTCCATTTTTTCCTAGTTGCCGCACAAAGACCACAATACAAAACGATGTACTTTACTGCTTCTTCATAAGCATTCTATAAGCCTGGTTCTTTCTCCAAAAATCTCGAGTTTATGTATTTTTTTGCTTTTTATAGCAACTGCGACTCGGACTTCACAGACTGCGTATATCCTTAATTTAGTATGAAAGCATAAAGAAGAGATCATATAAGAGTAAAATGTTACTATTGACAGATCTATGCCATTCCAAGTTTCAAAACATGCCAATATGCTCTTTCTGTCAAGTATCGCCCTAATACCCACCCTTTCTTTCCATGAGCAGCAAAATTCAAACTCCTAGAGATTCATTGACAAACCACAACTATCAATTTTCTAGAATAACGGAATAAGCACCGGCCATAACAGAAAAGTCTCTAATAAACCACGTAAACAAGCATATACATGATTGACATACAAATAGAAATGGATAACCATTGTAAAGATTTTTCAGATGCAGGTCGCGAAGTAATACCGGAAGGCTGTCACGGAGGGGAAATCGCTGGTAGTGGCCATAACACAGAGTGCGGCAGCTGCAAACAGGAACTGGAAGAAACGCAAGGCGAGCCCGCCGAGCGTGGCGGGCATGCCCTGTATATCCTTCATCCTGACTCTCGGCGCATTCGCGCCTTCCATCGTAGGCGGATCCTCCACTGGGTGAACCAAGGCATGGCTCACGTTCATATCTCCACACCAACCCTCAAATCATAGCTGCCCTCGCCTCGACACAAATCCTATCAAAAACATTCGGTAAGCGATTCATATCCAATCTCAACACCCCAAGTTAACTGAAAACTAATCAACTCTACCCACCTAAAAACATTCCCACAAACGGGAATCCAGCGCCGAATCAGAGACCGAACAAAAAGCACCCATTTAGCTAAAAAACATCCAACGAGCTCGCGGCGATAGAAAACTTCGAAAAGATCAGATTTTGAACACACCCAGATCAGACACTGGCGAATTCGAACCTGATATCCGGCGCGGCCGGCGGAGAAACGGGAACCCTAGATCCCCGGTTGGGGGTGGGGGGGGGGGGGGGGGGGGATGTTCGCCGGCGGCGGATCAAACACTGGATCGGAGAGTGTGCTGTGTGGATCGAGGGAGCCGGTGGGGGCGGGGGTAGAAGAGATTCGAGGGAGGGAAGAGGGGGGGAAGTTGGTGGAGATGGAAAGAGGGAGTTGGAGGTCTGCAAGGGGGGGAAAGGAGAGAAGTTGAGTTTCGATCGTTGTTCTTCTTCCAATAAAGGCGCGTCGCTCTAGCGTTCGGCACTTGCCACTCCTTTTCCATCATCTTTGTAAAATTTATAGGGAAAATTCCAAATCAGTACTCAAAATGGGACCATTTTCTAAAAAAAGAGTTCAAAATTGACATGATATCAAATAAGGGCCTAAAATGCCCAATCAATCTCAAATAAGGACCCGAAATGCCCAATTAGTGTCAAGTAAGGGTATGGGTTCGCCGGCCGATCAAATGCTCACCGGCCGACGAGCACATCACTGTTCCGATCGCCGGAATAAGGGCAATTTCGTCTTTTACTTTTTAAATTTTTTTTGTTTCTTTTTTCCTTTTACTGTTTTTTTGTTTCCCTTTTCTTTTTTTTTCCCTCTTTTCCCTCCGCCGGCCATAGCCGACAACTGCCGGCCCCGACAATCGGAACAGTGACGTGCTCGCTGGCCGGTGAGCATTTGACCGGCCGGCGAACCCAAGCCCTTACTTGAAACTAATTGGGCACTTCGGGCCCCTATTTGAAACTGATTGGGCACTTCAGGCCCCTATTTGAAACTGATTGGGCACTTCAGGCCCTTATTTGATAATTGACACTATGTCCACTTTGAACCCTTTTTTGAGAAAATGGCCCCACTTTGGGAAATGACCTGATCGTAACTCCCGTGGAAAATGACCCTCTTTTTTGAGAAACTGATCGGATCGCAGAATCGGATAAGCATCATTAAGAGTTACGATCATTTAGACTCGGCTCTGATAAATTAATTTTAATGTCAACGTGTCAAAAAAAAAAGTAACAAGTTAACGTCTTTCGACGAATTTTTCCACCTTGTGATTGGTTGTATCCGATATCCATCTTGTCCTGTAGATAATTAAGGAACGAGTTTTTGCTTCTTCTTCTTTTTTTATTTTTGCATTACTAGATATAGAATATTAGATGTACTCATTGAAGATGCGTAATTTGATTAGAATGAGATAAGCTTCCTAACCAAAATATTCATATGGCAGACACAGTGTCAATTTTATAGATAAGACGCCACGTTATTGTTGGAGATATGATTTGTACAAATTGATTTGATTGAAGATACTTGAATCAATCTAGGATTCAGAATGATGTCAATTAGTGATTTAGAATGATTTCATATCTTTGTATTCTCTTTTTATTGTTTACACTTTGTAATATAAATACATGTAAAGAGTACATATCAAAAGCATACTGAATACAAAGAAATTCTTCAAGTTCCTTCTTTCTTCTTCATTTCGTGTCATGGTATCAGAGCCTCGTTCATACTTAGCTTCCGCAAAATTTCGAAAATTTTCTTCCTGATTGCCTTCCCGTGTTTTTGTATCCTTGTTGTTGCAAGAAAACTAATCTGCAAAACAAGGTTAGCACTCCGTTGTAGGAATCAATTTCTTGAGTGTTTCAAAAAAAAGAAGCACTGTCCTACCAATACCATGCCGAAGAATTCTTCAAAATCTGAAGAACCGTTTCCAGAAGGAAGTCTGGAGAATACGTCTCATGAGGACTCGCGTCAGGAACCAATACCCCAAGATCCAACTGAAGTCAGATCAAGTCAAGAGTCCATCGAACAAATCCAACCTACGAGATCCTGCCCAAATTCAACCAAACCAGGGGCAACCCAATTTGGGCCAGCCTATCCAATGGGTACCGATGCAAGGCCCATTCAATCCACTCTGGTATGGGCCGAATCATTCGAACCCATGGTACAATTTCCAAGGACCAACAAATCAGGCCTAAAACTTTCAAGGCTTCGGAGAACACACCCAGGCTGAAGGGAGCCCACCAGCTAATGTTAGGGCAAGCTCAACCCCCGAGCCTGGGATGTACCATCTGGGTCAAGCATACGAATCCGATGGGTCGGGTCAAGGAACAAATCCCAACTCGGGATTGCAACCTGAATTGTGGCCGTTCTCGGTTCCTGCCCACCATGGTCGCCCGGAGCCCAACGACCCTTTGTATACCTCCACCGCCGACGGACCGGAGCTGAGACTCATCAGCAAGCAATTGTCCGGACCAGAAAATTATTCCAGGTGGTCCTAGGAATTCCGACGAGCCCTGGTGACGAAGGACAAAGACGGGTTCCTCGACAGAACCGTCTCAATTCCCGCCGACGATCGTCTGGCGCGACACTGGAGGAAATGTAATCAACTCGTCCGAACATGGATCGGCAATTGCATTTCTCCAGAAGTCGTGGCCGGACTTCCTCCGACCGAGGACTCGAAGTGCATGTGGGAAAACATCAAAGAAATGTACGGGAAATTAGACCGAGCGAAAAAAATTTCCCTAATGCAGGAACTCAGTGAGCTGAAACAAGGGAATATGACGGTCACAGCTTGCTTCAACAAGCTCTCGTCACTTTGGAACAAACTGGAGGTAGCAGAGGAGAAGCTCGAGGGACCGGAATCAACACTGAAACAGTATAGATCTATCAAAGAAAGGGAGAAAGCTACTCGGTTTCTTTTGATTTTGAACGAGACATACCTAACTTTTCGCTCCCAGATCCTAGCAATGGAGCCGATGCCGGTGCTCGACCGGATTTTCCAGCTCGCCGTCCAGGAGGAAAGCCAACGATTGGCTTCGTCGGAGCACATGAAGGTCGGGGAATCCATGCTCCTCGCAGCTCAGACGAGGACCCAAGAGAGAGGAAACGCTGGAAAATCAAGGGAAGAATGGAAGCAAACGGCGACCTATTCTCAAGGGTTTGCTGAAGAAGAGGAGAAAACCCTCAAGATGGACAGCTCAGATTCATCTATGAGATCGGATGGCCTACGCGCGAAGCAATTAGCGTCCAAATCGGACGCTCCTTACGAAGCCACGTCAGCACCAATTATTAAATCGATTGGTCCGTCATCTGCCACGTCTCATAAAGGATATGGACAGAATTTCAAAGGCAAAGGTAAATTATTTTGTGATTATTGCAAACGACCACATCACACTGTAGATACCTGCTGGAAATTGCATGGAAAACCCGGTGAAAAGGGGAAGAAAGAAAAGGAATTTTTGGCTAATCAGGTCATGGTGCACAACATTGATAAAGGAAATCAGCCAATTACTCATGACCAGTATCAACAGCTCATGAAGGTTTTGAAGCAGTTTGATATTCTTGACAAAACAGCAAGTTTCTCAGGTACCTCTTACTGCTTGATGAATTCTATTTCAAGTAATGAGTGGATAATTGATTCAGGTGCCAGTGACCACATTATTTGCGACAAAAGATTCTTTAGTCATATTCATACAAATCTAAACTCACCTACATCAGTTCGTCTTCCAAATGGGCATGTCACATATATCACTGAAATTGGCACCGTCAATCTTACCCCTTCTATCATCCTTACAAATGTGCTCTATGTTCCTCAATTCAAATTTAATCTCATTTCTGTGTCCAAAGTTTGCCAAGACAATTCCTGTTCTTCTTTTTCAATTCTGAAAATTGTTTCTTTCAGGCTTTTCGACTGGCAAACTGATGGGCTTGGGTAATGTTTCACAAGGGCTATATTTTGGGACAAACTTTCCAGAAAACTTTGATTTGTCAAGTATTTCCTTACATAAACATTCATTGTGTAATACCACTACCAATGATAATATTTTCCTTTCTCATCAACGATTGGGCCATAGTACTTCTTTTCCATATCCTCAATGCAAAATATGTCCCTTAGCGAAACAAGCACGTACACCTTTCCCTCTCAGCAAATCACGTGCTAACAATTTTTTTTCAATTATCCACGTTGACGTTTGGGGGCCATATCATACTCCACATCGTGATGGATCACGTTTTTTTCTTACTATCGTGGATGATTATTCTAGAGCCACGTGGGTATTCCTTATGCAATCAAAAAGCCAAGTTCCTTCTCGCCTTAAAAATTTTCTCTCCCTAATTACAAATCAGTTCCATACTTCTGTGCAACGCATTCGAACTAACAATGGAAGTGAACTCCTTAATCATGAATGTGCATCTCTCTTTTCTTCCAATGGAATTCTTCATGAACGTTCTTGCGTTTACACCCCACAACAAAATGGGATTGTCGAACGCAAACACTGTCACCTTCTAGAAGTTGCACGTGCTCTCAAATTTCAGGCTTCCATTTCAGAGATTTTTTGGGGCGATTGTGTGGTCACGGCAGCTTACCTGATCAATCGAATGCCATCTCGAATCCTTGATGGAAAGACTCCTGTTGAGCTACTCTTTGGTAAGAAACCTGAAACTCATCATTTAAGAGTTTTTTGGTTGCTTATGCTATGTTACTGATGTGGGCCCTCGAGACAAAATGGGTCATCGTGCTCGTCTTTGTATTTTCATGGGTTATCCAACTCTCCATAAAGGTTATTGTGTTTTTAAGCCATCCACCGGGAATTTCTTCGTGAGCAGAGATATTATTTTTCATGAAAGCATATTTCCCTTTCAAGATGAAGACAAACCGATTGAATCTTCTAGCAAAACAGAACATCATCGCTCTTTCTTATTTGAAGAGGATTTATCTCCAAATCAGCAGTTATTGTTCATTGCACCTCCAGAAAATTCAATATTGTCTCCGACTACAACAAACAATGAAGATCCTTCATCCCCTATGAAGTTTCCAATTGAAAGTGCTAATCAATCAATCGAAGGAAGCCTTGTACAACCTCAGGCAGCATTTCCTACGGAAGATATTAATGAAACATCTATCCGTTCTATACCTGAAACCGACAATGCTGAACAACCTCGACGCTCGGGGCGTGTCGCTCGTCCACCTACATGGACCAAGGATTATGTATGTGCAACCTCGAATTCTTTAGGTATTCACTATCCTGTATCTTCGTATGTTTCGTTTAATCAACTATCATCGGAGCATATGTGTTGCATCAGTCGTATATCTAAGGAAAGAGAACCATCATCCTACAATGAGGCAGTCATTGACCCACGTTGGCAGAAAGCCATGGAGGCTGAATTATCTGCCTTAATGGAAAATAAAACTTAGGATATTGTACCTTTACCTGCTCATCATAAATCAATTGGCTGCAAATGGGTATACAAGATCAAATATAAGGCAGATGGGTCGGTTGAAAGATACAAAGCGCGCCTAGTAGCCAAAGGTTTTACACAACAAGAAGGTTTCGATTACCATGAAACCTTCTCCCCAGTAGCAAAAGAAGTCACCGTTCGCTCTTTTTTATCTATTGCTGCATGTCGCGACTGGCAACTCCATCAAATGGATGTCCATAATGCATTTCTCCATGGTGATCTGGATGAGGAAATCTATATGGATCTTCCGCATGGTTTACGGAGACAAGAGGAGTCTAAGGTATGTCGCCTCCGTAAATCCCTTTATGGACTCAAACAGGCTTCTCGTCAATGGTATGCTAAGTTTATTACTGCACTTACAGCTACCGGTTTCAGACAATCCAGGCATGACTATGCATTATTTACATGGACAAAAGGTGTGTCATCTATTTATTTGATGATATATGTTGATGACATTCTCATTATGGGATCAAATGAATCTGCTGTCGAGAATCTTAAAAGATATCTATATGCTACTTTTCACATTAAGTATCTAGGTTCTCCCAAATATTTCCTTGGAATTGAGATTGCACGATCAAACAAAGGAATCTCACTTAGCCAACGGAAATTCATTTTGGAGATTATATCAGAAGCAGGTTTATCTGGATGTAAACCAGCAGTTATTCCTATTGAGCAGAATATAAAATTGACCACTCTTGATTATGATATGGGAACATCGTCCAATGATGATGATCCACTGCTCAAAGACCCATCGAGCTATCAAAGACTCGTAGGAAAACTTATCTACCTTACTATGACAAGACCTGACATATGATTTGCAGTACAAACACTGAGCCAGTTCATGCACAATCCGAAACAATCCCATATGAATGCAACCCTGAAAATTGTGAAATACTTGAAGAAATGTCCAGGACTTGGAATACTTCTTTCTCGAGAGTGCAACATGGAAATGACAGCCTATTGTGATGCAGATTATGCTACATGTCCGATGACCCGAAAGTCTATTACTGGATTCTGCATTAAGCTTGGAAAGTCCTTACTATCATGGAAAACGAAGAAGCAATCAACCGTATCATTATCATCAGCTGAGGCTGAATATCAAGCTATGGCTAAAACCGTTTGTGAGATAGTATGGATACGAGGCTTACTTCACGATCTTGGCATACAAGTTAAAGGACCAACAATGCTATTTTGCAATAATGATGTAGCACTTAAACTTGCAGCCAACCCCATAATTCATGAGAGGACAAAGTATATAGAAGTTGACTGTCATTTCACTCGAGACAAGATTCAAGAAGGGATAATCAGAACAAAAGGAATTGGGACTTCAGATCAACCTGCGGATATCTTCACCAAACCTGTGTGTCAAAGACAACACACATATCTGCTAAGCAAGCTGGGTGTCTTAGACATATATAAGCCACTAGCTTGAGGGGGAGTGTTGGAAATATGATTTGTGCAAATTGATTTGATTGAAGATACTTGAATCAATCTAGGATTTAGAATGATGTCAATTAGTGATTTAGAATGATTTCATATCTTTGTATTCCCTTTTTATTGTTTACACTTTGTAATATAAATACATGTAAAGAGTACATATCAAAAGCATACTGAATACAAAGAAATTCCTCAAGTTCCTTCTTTCTTCTTCGTTTCGTGTCGGTTATCCCACGTAGCCTCCACAAAAAAATGCTTTTGTAGGAAAGGGTGTTGGATCCTAAGTCGAAGTGCATCAATCATCTCGAAAAAAAGAAAGCTTTCCGTGCATTGAGTTCGATCAAATCCCACCCGCGTCGCGTCTCTTGGTGTTTGTACTATAAATGGACTATAGGGAGCACATCTTCGTTCAAGCAAGAAGATCGAAAAGACATCTTAAATCGCGAACAACAGGACAATAAATCCGAAAATCTCATCTACTTTCAAAAATTAACATACATCATGACATAGCTAAGAAAATTTTAATTTTGTTACGCGGGAGATCGAGAGATTCCGACACCCAAAAAAAAAAATGTACGCGGGAGGATTTGCAAATTACTCTCGATAGTAATGGGAACATTCGATGCATCGGTTCTTTTTTTTTTTTCTTTTTTTGTGATTAGTAATAAAAATAAAATTAAAATGAAAAGGAATTACTTGATGGAGAAGTAAAAATAAATAAAAAAAATTCGAAAAGAGAGTCCATTGGCCGCCTTATTTCTTTTTCTTTTTTTAAAAAATATTTTCCCATTGACTTTTTTGACTCGATAAATAGGTTGGTTCTGCCCCTCCGTTTCCGCCCAACTGCTGCTGCTTTGCCCATCGTCAATCAGACCGAAGGGAGGGGGAGAGAGAGAGAGAGATTAGGGTTTCGCCGGGAGCAGCGGCAGCGAAGATGATCGAGGTGGTGCTGAACGACCGGCTGGGGAAGAAGGTGCGGGTGAAGTGCAACGAGGACGACACCATCGGCGACCTCAAGAAGCTCGTCGCCGCCCAGACCGGCACCCGCGCCGACAAGATCCGCATCCAGAAGTGGTACAACATCTACAAGGACCACATCACCCTCAAGGACTACGAGATCCACGACGGCATGGGTCTCGAGCTCTACTACAACTGATCCCGTCCTCCCCCGGCCAGGTAACTTTCCTGCGAGCCCATGGAAGAAGCTTAGGGTTTCGTTTTATCGGTACTCTAGGATCTATCGCGAAGCCGTGTGATTTAGGTGTGATGTCGAGTTTAATCGGTTCAGCGGTCGTTGTTCGAGGATGATGTTTACTGATACTATGATGTTCAGTTGTGTGGGTACCTGTGTTTTCTGTAAAATTTGGGATGATTTTGGTAGTTTATGCTGCTAATCGAGTGAGTAATCGACATGATTTGGGGTAATTTGTTTGATAGATGTATGTTTCCACCGGGACTGCATGTTTGTTCTAATAGGTTGCAATTGCTTTTTATTTGGAATCAAAGAAAGTGCTTGGTGCTGCCTGTGCTGATACTGAATTGGTTGGTCACGGAATGGTATCGATTTCGCCTCCTCCTTAATAGTATGCCGTGACAGAGACATAGAATAAACTATGGAGGCGAGGCATCTCGCTGTACCTGTTGAACTGCATCAACGATAGAGCTTGGGTGATAATAAAGAAGGGTCGATGCTGTGTTGCTACAGTTTGCTATTCGACTTCTGAGCTACATAGAAAACTGCCTGTTCGAAATCTATGCGGTTGGATTGTCCTTCGATAAGTTGTTTTGGAGAGCGAAGATGTCATCATCTGATAAGAAAAAAATATGTTTAGGAGATCTCTGGTGTGTAGAAATTTCTCGAAATTGAGAAGATGAATCCCTTTTATGGGATGGATTACCTCGGTTAGATGCAAGAGCGTAAAACCAACAGAAATTTCAGAATTTTTGTTTCCGGAGAAAGAATTGCTTTTGAAAATTCAGCACACCTTCCAATAGTTTCACATACAATCTTTCATTAGTTTTTGCTTTTAAAATTGAACGCAATTTCTAGCATACTTGCGAAAAATGCCTGTGTCAAAGCAATTGCAGTAGGAAGGATGTGATGAGTAGGAATGAGTGTTAGTAACGTGGAGTGTCAATTGGAGATGTAAGAGGCTATATATGCAATATTATGCTGCGTGTAGTTGAACTGCATACCAAGTCTAGAGTCTTAACCAACAGTTATATTTGCTCCATAAGACTTTTTATGATGTGGGAATGACATGGGTGTCCTTCAAGATCGTATTGAAATATGACTTACACTTAATACTTAGCATACTGATATTTTTATTGTTTTATTTTCGAATATCTTTAGAACGGGAGTATGAATTTATTGTTGCTATTTCAACTTTGGGATATGTTATCGTTCTTTGCTAGGGTTTTAGGTATATGTATTTGTTACCCTCTGTTTATCATATTTGAAGTTCAATGGTATAAGTTGAGTAATTTTCTTTAGTTTGCACGTTTGTCGAATCTAGGATAATGTACATTCTTATCAAATTTCATTTCCATCGCTTCAGTTGGTATCAAAGCGAGTCGAATTGATGCATTCTTGAATGTTATGTGATTTTTCACATTTAGTATAATGTAAATTTGTATCATGTTTCATTTCCACCTCTTTAGTTGGTATCAAGATTAGTTCAACTGATGTATTGGAATGAGGTTTACTACGAATTTAGATCATGCTAAATTGTGCATAATGCGCAAGAACATGACAGAGGCGCAAATCACAATAAATCTCTAAGCTTTCAATTGACTCAAAGAGGCAAAGCTGTTTTACAAAGAGAAGATGACAAATATATAGAAGACCTAAATTCCATGCAAACCCATGTCTTCCAATAAAAATCCTAACCATTAATTAGATGCCGAATAGCAATGGTAAATGCAAATTTTTGTTCTCGTGTATCCTAATAATAAGAGGGAAGCTGTTGAATTCTAAAATGTGGAATGCTCATTATTCGTACTCTTAGCAAGACTCTCAATACTTTCAAACAGGTTGCTGCAAATTCTGCTTGTGCTTCACTTTTTTCGGTTCTACGAGAAAAATAATATCCTAAAAGATTTTCCTGTAAGAAGATTCAGTAGTAACCTTTCATCAATGATGTCTGTTTGGAATTCATTTTTGACTCTATGCCTGGGATTCTGCTTTCATTAGTAAGCAATATTATGATCCCTTCATAGAGATAAGTGATGGAATTTACATGGATATAGTAAGTCTTTTACATTTCCTCTTTAATTCGACACCTTCCAATTAAGACAAGATATCCTAACAGGGAATCAAATGTTGAAGTAGAGATGTGAATTCGAATTCCGTTCTATGTGTGTTCCAAATATCAAGAAGGAAAATCAAATTCTATAAGTGTGAAGCTATCGTGCCTTACATGGAAATTGGATCCTGATGTTATGTCAAGAGACTCCTTTGTCATGGGTTGAGGCATTCTGAACCATTTGATCCCAATTTGATTGATTTAGGGTCAGAGTGCATGGAACAATATTTAGTTTATATATGTTTGTAGTAAACTGAAGTTTTATTACTTCACACCATGCTGGGGCTATGTGAAGAACATCTGCAACTTGTGCTCTTCTTGTGATTATTCTAGATAAAAACCACTGAAAGAAGATTTCTTTGTGGGAAAAGGTAAAATAAGTGCTGTGTGAAACCTTCTTCCCCGGAGAAACTCTGATAAATAAAAGTTTGATGTAAGTTGACATGAACCTTCAGGAGCGAGCATAATTTACGTTCAACGTACAATTGTTAATTTATCAGATAGTTGTGTGGTCTCTTCTTGTTTGGTTTTGAAATTTTAGCCTCTGGACTGTAGATCGGCAGGAAAGAAGTGTAAGCTTTGATTTTAGTGAGAATATTGATGTAGCTCAGTCGTTGTTTTCCTTATGGTTGTCAGCATGTCTATGTCAGTTTGAATTATCATGTGAAGCATTGGTTTCTTCTGATGAGTTTTTGTTGTATCCCCTGAAATTTTAGTCTCTGTTTTCCTGCTGGCTTATCCATGGATATTTGCAAAATGTTTAGCATCGTTACATAGAATTTCAGTTTTGCATTACCGAAACAGTTCACGACCTTCAATCGAAGCTTCAAAACCCGTCTCGAGGGATGAGAGTGTCGAGTGACTTGCTCATTTCATCGCCTAACTTAATCTGCTGCTTGCTTTTACACTGCAGGTCTAGAAACTCACATGGAAATCCTTGGAACTGGGGGACCATGGATGCCTAAGAGCTGTAGTCTGTTTCCATATATACTGCATATGCATGGACAGTGTATCTACTGCCGTTAGACTCTTCAATTTCTGTGACTGTGAATGTGTGAACTTGGGAGCAAAACTCCTGTTAATGGAAAACTGGGAACATATGGTGCTGCAGTGCATATAAAAAATTGTTCGGTCTACTACATTCCGATGTATGGTCCTGTGGTTGCGTGTCCTTGTGATCCTTCACCTTATATTGCTTTCCTACCCTGCCAGGAGAGAATATTTTGCTGGGCAATGACATAGCTGCCTGATCAAATATCCTATGAGCGGTTGTCAATTTGATCTCGGAATTTTTCATAGTATGTTGTATAACTACACTTCTGGGCCCTGTCGACCTCGGTGGATGGAGTCGGGTGGATTTACAATCTAGGCATCTTGTTAATAGATCTCATTCTCTGAAAGCTGGAGATAGTTTCGTCTCCATAGATGGTATTTTGGATGAAGTCGTCTACAGTCCATCGACCGAGTTCTACCATCCTTCTTTTAAAGGACTCTGGCAAGAGCCACATTGAGTAACTCACGTTGAATTCTCCGGGGGAAATAAGTTGCCGAAGTCGTTTAAATGAACAGTTTTAAAGAGTTTCGGATCAAAGTGATCGATAAAATTCGGGCCTAAGTTTGAAGCCGGCAACAGCGTTGTCGTTCAAAAACTGGTAGACAAGCATAGTCTCGACAAGAAGGATGTTTGTGTGAGATGTGCGATCTAATCAAGATCGAAGTAATGGTGTTCAGTCAAAAGTTAGATTCCGAACGTGAAAATGTTCCGGCTAAAGTCGAGAGACAAAGGCTGACATCGTTACGATTGAAAAGTTGAGATATTTGATTCAAAGTCCAAGATTAAGAACAATTTTCTGAGTTATTAGTAGGTTGTAATCGTGCTATCATCAATCCCTTAAGAGAATGTTCGTACTTTCACCTATTTTGTCCGACGCCTATAAGAGAACACCTAATTCTCTTGACCTTAATGAATTCCCGAATTCAAACGAAATCATATAAATAAGGAAGAACAAAAAGACTTTGCCTAACCAAGTTCAACGCACACCTCCCAAAGTTCACACCAAAAATCGAAAATTTTGACCCGTTTGGCATATTAATTTTATTAATAACAATGATAAAAGCTCCTCCACTAGGAGGAATAATCCCTCACGAATCAAGTCTAGTAGCTCATAAGATTAGTCGGTATAATCATTACATTAAGTGGATTCACACGAGATCGATCAATCAAATACCCCACTTAATTCACTTTTTATGAACCGACCGTGTTTAAATCTTTTCTCTTTTCTTTTTTCCTTAGGAGGATCACGTGTAAAAGATGATCGAATTTTGTGCGGATTGATTTTTCCTTTCTTTTACTTTGATTAAGCGCGGCTCGTGAATTTTGATTTTTTCGTTTTATTTGCACGTAATCGAACATTTCATGATATACAAATGGGTAGATACACATGTAAAATATTTTATTGACTTTTCCAATTTTAAATGATATCCTAAATTGTCGAGAAATAAAGAGAATTGTTGTTCGCTTTTATTGAATCGTAAATAAAGGGATAAGCGCATTGAAAATCCCAAAACTTGTATCGAAGGTGCAATCGGATTTTAAAACTTTCAACAAGTGTAATTAAATTCTAAAACTTGTCATGAAAGTGCAATGGAGTTGTAAAATTATCAAAAAGCTCAATTAAGTCTTAAAACTTATCAAATTTGTCCGATTAAATCTTTCCGTCGGTTACATTTTTCGAAAGTTTTGGGATTCAATAATACTTTCACGACAAGTTTTAAGACTCGATTGCACTTTCGCGATAAATTTAAGGACTTCCGGTGCACCTATCCCTTTAGACGATAGGAGGTGAAGTAGAAAAAAGAAAAAAAGAACCCAACAAGATTTGCGACTTTAAAATATATTTTAACGGACGAAAAAAAAACAAGAAGGGAAATAAAACAAAAATGGGGAAAAAAAAAAACGAAAACCCCTTTGGTTTGCGACGTTGCATCACGCGCCTCTCGAGTAGCCCCCGCAACGAGAAAAAGCTCCAAATTCTCGCGACAAACACGTCGAAGACCGCCAAAATACCGCGCGACCGCCTCGGTTTGACCGCGCGGGTTGAAGAGCGAGAAACAAACGCGCGCGCCCCCCCCGCGACTCGGCGGAAAAAATCGCGATTTCTCGGACGATCCGATCGGGGAATCCAGGCCGTACACGTAACGCAACCGAAATGAAGAAAAAGGAATGGGGGAAAAAGACCGCGGCCACGTGGGACGTTTTTGGTAGTTCGGAGCTGACGGCGACGGGGAGAGACACGACGACGGTGTGGGTCCCCCACCACCCGCACGAGCGGCCCTCTACGCCACGCTACCGAATCTCTGTCGTTTCTTGCCGCTCCGGCCCCGGGGGTCGGACTTCCACCGCAAGACGACAAAATTCCCCCACCCCCCTGGGCCCCGCGCCACCGCTGACGTGGCGCGGCGTCGGATCGGGCGGGGCCCCATTCGGCGGGCCATCGTTTCGTTCCGATGCCAGTTAACGCGATATACAGTAACACATGTCATTTCGTCTCGATCGATGAATTTTCAACGGTTGGTGATATCGAGCGTAAGCCGATGAGATGGAAAAGATCTATAATCATCGAGCCATTCTATGAATGTGATCTGCGTGTCGCCTCGTTTCGGGTACGCGACAAAAATGATCGCGAAGACGTGTGATACGGTATTTTCTCGGATTCAATCTTTTAAGAAATTATTTCTCCCTTTGTTTTATGTCCTCCCTTAGTCTTCGCGGGACATGTGAAGTAAAAAGAAGAATCGATAGTTTAAAATGCACTTCCAAATAAAATACGTCGCGTCACGTATCTGAAAATATCGATTCATGTATCCGGAAAGATCTTATTCAATGAATATGATTATGGCCATGTTTTCCTCCTATCCAAATGCTGGTGGATAGGTTTCTTTGGAAAATTTGCGTTTAGGTGACCAAGCTTTGACGACAACAACAACAAAAAAATTACAAATAACAATGAAACCCCCTCTCCTCTCTTCCCTACGTCCTTGCGGCCTAAAGAGCATGTCACGGAAGCCGCGGCCGCACCGCCAATGCTAGCACGTACGAGCAGCCATCGTCGCCACTGCTACGCCACCCGTGAGCCCCCCGATGTCTTCCTTGCAAAGAGGTTCCGACCGTCCGACCCAACCCGGGGGGGGGCGTGGCCTAGGATGGTCGGTATCGGTATTAGATTGTCGACGTGGGTGCATCGATGAAAGGATCGTTGGGCGATGTTTTAGTGGTATATATGTGTATTTTTCTCGTTTTAGAGTCACATGTTGATTGCATAAACTCGTGTAATCCACAAATTAAAAGGCTAGTTAGAGAAAATTCTGGCTGACTAGAATTGGAGGAAAGCGTACCCATCAGCGTTATAGAAGAGAAAAACACCTGGGCTTTGAGTTTGTTAAGCGTCCACCGAGATGCATCGGGTAATTTCTAACCATGTGCCAAGCTAACCCAACAATAAAAGGCTTCTACGAAACAAAGTTTAGTTAATTCGAAGACTTTCGATAGACCTTGTTCATATTTAGAAATGTCTTCCTTCCGAGGAAACTAGTGAATACCCTTTTGGCCCCAGAGCCAAATTCCAAGTGACATTTGCATACATACATACATACCTACAATTTGAGGTCTCATCTCATGTACGAAATCAAAACCTCTTGAGTAGAGGTGAGCGTGGTCCGGGGGGCGGTTCCTGGCATGGAACCGGGAACCGCCAGTTGGTTCCATGGATCCACCCAGGAACCGGACCGCCGGTCCGATCTGGTTCTCGGGTAGGTCCATGAAACTGGTCCCATCAAATTTCATGCAAATGGAGGTGACCGAGAGTGAGAGAGGGGAGGCGATGAACAGCTAAAGGCGCTGCCGTGAGTTGAGAGTCGAGCTTTAGATTAGGGATTTTATGGTTTTCATTTTTCTAAAAATGTTTTTTTTTTTAGTTGAAATTTTTCTAAAAAATTATATATATGCATATATACATATTACCGGTTTGGTCCGGGTGGGCGGTTTCACGCCTAGAACTGAAAATCGGACAGGTACTCACCGATTTTAGTAAATTAGAATCGGAAACCAAATCGGTCCTCACGGGAACTGCCGATTCTAGGCCGGTCTGATTTGGCTCCAGGCGATTCCCAATTCCTTTATACGTTCCCACTCTTGAGATGACCTCAACATGACATATTGCCAATAGCTTTTAGGGGGGGGGGGGGGAGGTTGGCTTTCTTGATGGAGACGACAAGCTGTTGTTTCCTTGCTGGTTTTTCTCGGATCTAGCGCGATTTTGTCAAAGGGACAGGACACAGCATTGAAAGACGTTGCGAAATTGCACCGTGCGTGAAGATACCCTGCTTGTCCCCGTCCATTGCAAATGGCTTTTGTATTTTGACTTTGGGATTGGGAAAGAGTTAGACAGGGGAACATCAAAAGGCTTTGGGAGTCGTTCGTAACACTCTTAAATTTGCATTAATTTCCGGCACCCTTTGTTTTTTTCCCTCCCCGCCCTTAAAATTTTAGTTCGGTCCAACTTCCAAAACTTTGACCATGACTTCTCTCCTTCGTAACAAGCATCACCTATTGTATCGCATGTCGAACAGTTCTATCCGTTGGTCGATTGAGCCCCCCACGTTTTATTTGGGTCCTATCAAGGTCTAAACACGTTCGACGGTTGATGTATGTCCGGCATGAAACAAAGCTGCATCGGGCCTGCGATGAGTTAGGACGAAATATCTAGGACTTGTCACAGCATGTGTATATATATATATATATATACCATCTTCTCGCTTAATCGCGAGTTCTGGACGAGCGAGGTTTGACGCCGCACGTGAGAAAGCAATGAAATCCACGTTCGATATGCCTAATAAATACCCGGGATTTGCATCTAGATAATGCCCAATACCGAGGCTGGTCCATCTCGAGAAGTCGCACTCTCAGCTGGGATTTACTCCTTCTTGGCCACCTTACGCAAAGGAGATTTTATTGAACTGGACCGATCTGTCCTACATGTTGGTTCCAATATCCTTCTTATTCAACCTAGATATAAATGCACTACTATTAAACACATGGAAATCAAAGTTAACCCGTGCGGATCCAAATGCATGGCTTTACAGCCATGCCGACATAATCACAGGTTTTCGAAATTTGACATGAAGAAGTTACATAGATTGGCCGAGAATGCTAAAAAGGGTTTATGAAATTGATATATTAAAGGGAAAATGACATAAATAGTCCTTAAACTTTGACCCGGATATGCAATGTAGTCCCTGAACTTTTAATTTATTCAATATTGTCCCTAAACTTTTGGTAAATGTTCAAACTAATCTCTAAACTATATGAAAATGTTCAATGTTGTCCAGAAACTTTTAATTCATTCAATATAGTTCATGATCTTTTTGTACATGTTCAAACTAGTCACATTGGGCTAAAATTCATGAACCACATTGAACAAAAATAAAAGTTCAGAGACCACATTGCTCATTGGGCTAAAATTTATGAACTATTTGTGTCATTATCCTTATACTAAATGATGTGGCAGAGTCTTGTCGGGTCTTGAATATGACCTAATTGACTAAATTTCCACTCGCGGTTCATCACATCACGTCGCTCAGCGATAGCATGCCAATTTCGTCGATCGGTTTTAATATCGATAACCTCGCTCGAAAGTAAAAGGTTACATAACCGCACATCTTTTAGGCTTACCAAAAAACTTGAAAGGCTGTAGCACGAAAGGGTATTGCGAGCCCCACCTGGTTCGTGCGCATCACCATCTGTGCCGGCAAGAGTCGGAAGTAATCAAAGCGCTTACGAACGAGGGACGCACCCAAGATAAAGTGATTCAAGAGCCGACTAACTCTCGTACGGCCTCGGTCGAGATCTGATTCGCATCGTGTAATTATCACAAACGCGACACAGGAAACCCCATATTGGGAATGTGAATCTAAGGCAGATTCGACACGGACATGGTGGGAAACCAGAATGATGTGTTGCTTGACCATATGTTTTTGCCCAAGTGGTGAGATAAGATTACAATGGAGTCAAATCAAATCAAAACCCGACTCGACCCGGCCCGACCCGCCGGGGAAAAGATAAAAAAAGGCAGGCCCGCGTGCGGGGGACCGCACGTGGACAGACGCTTTGGGCCACTTCAAAGAGGTCAACCACCCCCTTTTGCGGCCTTCCAAAAACGGACCCACTCCCACGTGCGGATGCTTTTTGCTGTGTTATTAATATTCTAAATCCTGTCCCTAAGTTAGTGTAAAAGCAATTTCCTTAATTCTTCCCTTTTACATGATTACACCACTAATAGGGACGTTTTAGTGGAGGAATTAACATTAATCGACCGATTGCCGGCGGTCCTAAAAGTCGACCACTCTTTTGAAGTCGACTCGATATTAAATCGTATATTTTTTTAAATGCAAGATGCTGGCTATTCTATCAATCCCGTCAACCCTAGAAGTTCTCTCCTTAGGGGGTGTTATTGCGTTGTTGTATGTTAATTTTCGCACATCGGATCGGTCTCTTCTTCTCAGGTCGGTCGAAATTGCAAAATGTTCTCATCAGAACTAGGAGATTGGTGAGGGGTTACGATTCCGGTTTTCCCGTGACTTCATTGATCACGAAGCATCGGATCGAGCAAGAATTGAACTTAAGCTTCGGATGTAGGTACAGGCTTTGATTGTGTTTAGTCGCAACGCATTGAAATTCACCAAGTTCAAAAGGGAATGTTACCACCTCAACACCGCATTCAGAACCGCCACTGACTCCATTAATGGACAGCCATTATTCATGCCAAGAATAGGCGAGGTTGCACCGTCGTAGAACAGGGGGTGAGGTGAGCCAACATTATGCAGCTCTAAAGGTTTATTAGGGAACTCAATAATGCTGCGAGCAAAGAAGCGTTTTCAGAACCGTGCATGGCCAAAACAGGTCCCTATTGCAGTCACTGTTTCTTTTAGTACACCCTTTTTTCCAGCTAAGTTCTGCAATATTGCACCCATCAATCCTGCTAAGACGTGTAGCTTCAAGTCACAGAGCACATTATTGTAATTTTTCCATAAGGAAGGAGAAAGAGAGAGAGAGCAAGTTCTGTGATTCTTGGTCCGATCGAGCAACTCGCCGTAACAATGTCGGACCGTGCCCCTGGCTTGCACACCGGCAAGTGTCGATTACCCCGTCCCGTCGTGAACATGACGAAGACGCGGCTGTCAGCATCAGCATTAGCTCACATGATTAGCATATGGGAGATGGAAATGGTCAAACTTGGGTAAGACACAACAGTTGTGTACCAACAATCAAACCCGTTAAGATTGAGATCTTTCAAATTGGGTCGCTTCCATTTCTCGCAACACAATATGAAGACACGACATGCCCTGTTCTTATTTCAAAGTCGGATCGATACACGGACCACCTTTGCAGATTCAGGGAAACATGAAGCAACATCATCAAGATCCACCACATTGTTCCTAACATCATTACAAATAGGAGTCGTTTTCAGAGTCTTTGCAATAATGCGAGCGCGAAAAATAAATCAAAGTTTTTTTTTGGGTTGCACGAACTAGAGGACTATGCGTACGTGCTCAACGGACCCGCCTTAGCAGTCGAGTCGAATCCATTTTCGGCGTTCCTCCTCCCTGTGAGCAATGTCCTGCAAACAGAAGTTCACGAGCTTTCTCAATACAAGAACAATGGCTGCTTTCGACTTAAGAACCGAACTTAGGGCTTCGAATTCCGTCTTTTCTACTTAAATCCCAACATTTTTGGTTTCGCCCAGTAGCCACTCTGGAATTTAAGTCGAAAACTCTACTCCCAGGAGAAGCATTGTCAATGAAACAGGGTGCGAGACATATCTACAAGCAAAGGGAATCGGATAACTGGTCATCAGAGATCAAATCATACATGCTTTACCTTCCAATATTATGACTGGCTGAATCCATGAAGATGGTCAGTCTCTTTGCTGTTCTCATAAAGTCGCTGCCAAGCAATGGAACCAAAAAAAAAAAATCATCAATGAAAACTCAAGCTTTAGTGAAGCATCACAAACACTGTCACGGAATTGCAGATAGCAAGACTAAATCTTTCACCAAGATGGACACTATGGGCAAGTGAGTTTAATTACCGAACCTGAAAGGTTCATCTCCTGTCCGTTTGACGGTACCGGCAGCATCTCGGTAGAGAACATGGCTAGGCATCTCCGATCTCTCTATTCCAAACATGTTACCAAGCTTCCTGTAAAGCTCTTCGTACGAACCGAGAATTGAGAGATCGAGGGTCCTTCCCACATCCTCCGACTCCATAAAGACCTTGCAGTGACCCGTTTCTAGGCCAAGTTCAGAGGTTTCAAAGCCACGGCGCCACAAGAAGCCAGCACCAGCCTGCTTGAGCGTGGACCCCACACCATCAGAGTGGAACTTCAGTTTGCCAGTGCTTCCATCGGTTGAACCTTTGCCACTGACAACTTCAGAGACAACATCACCACCAGAGCGACCGCGTGAAATCTGCTGCTCCGTGAGTATAGGTTGCCCAAAGAGCAGGAACTTATGCTTCTTCTCGTCACCAGATTTCTCTGAACTCTGACTACAGTTCCCTATCGTAAGTAAGCATGACAAACTTTCACTCCCCTGCATGTTGTCTTTCATGATGCTGTTGGAACTTCTAGAATGTGGATCGAAACGATGCAAATTGGACGACAGTAACCCTAACCGCAATCTGTTGTTGAGGTGATGATCGGTTAAGGGTATTCCAAATTGAGCTTGCCTGGCTCCCTGTATGCCTGCAGGAGCATTATCAGATAGACAACACAAGAGGCCTGTGGGCCCGTGGAGATTGCCTGAGAACGAGGGGACAAGGAAGTTCCCGTCGAGTGGAAAATCCGGGTAATGCGGCAGGCGCAACTTCTTCCTCGGTGGAGAGAAGGGCGACATGTTGATAGCCGGGATGTTGGATACCAATTCGACCAGCCACGGGCTGACACGCTTGACATTTTGCAGCAAGTCCGGTTCATCCCAGGTCACCTGCAATGGTACTCCAACCGAATGAGTTTAAAAGAGCCGGCATGGTACAGAAGACAGTGTTCTAAGCTGATCGAAACCAAAAAGGGATAAACTTTGGCACCTAATGCTTAATGCTGTCAATCAATAGCCTCCATATGACTACTCCAAATTCTTTTTTCGAAACATGCATCTTTGTTTCAGTATAAATAAACGATTAGTCAATGCCCAACGCCTCTTAACAACTTCTGCATTTTTACCTCAAAACGGTTCTGAGTGTTAAATTCTCAGGGAATCCAGAGCAAGGATACTATCGAAACTTTGACACTGAATGAGAGGGCAAAAGCTTCCAAAATCCCCATTGACAAGTAGCTAAATTTATCGCGGCAAACTCTCGTCCTCATAGAATAGCAGACTAGCCCAAGACCAATGAAGGGACATGCCATCTAAGAAGCGGATTAAAGCCATATAATGGCATTGGCAGGAGACAGTGGTCCAGGCACAAAATGTGCCAGCTTTCTAGGTACATCCAAGAGTATTATCGTTTCTAAATGCGAAAATACACCAGAAAGACTGAGGTGATGCAAAGTTCAACTCAGAAAACAACATTCTTTACTGTATTCATTCTTGAACCCTCGATCCGCGACTATCATACTCGTCGGAAATAAATATATACTATGAAATGCATATCAACTATGATCAAGGTAATTAGTCGAAGAGAGGTCGCAGAACTGCATTACCTGAAGGAGCCGCCATGGCGAATTCGGCCAGCGGATGGGATCCGCGACCTGAACAGAGGAAATGGTCCCCATGAACCAACTTATCCGCGAAGAGTCCTCTGTCTCGAAAGCCATCTTGAACCTCATCCCCGAACACCACTGCGTCCTCATCGCCGCCTTCACCGACGACGCCTTGACGCAAAACTCTGGCGTGCTTGCCCTTGGATAGTACAGCACCTCGAACGGCTGCCCACTGGCGGCCAGAGCGGCGGCCTCGATCACGGACTCGGACCTCACTCTTCCCTTCCCTCCTCTATATCCGCCGTCACAACCCGCATTCCGCATCAATTTGCTCTCTTCCTCCCTCAGCAGCATCGAGAACCCACCAAACTGCGGAACACAACTCCCACCCCCGCCGGCACTCCATGCAGCCGGAGATTCCCCCCCGGCTCCTCTCTTGGAGCGCCGAATCCCAACGCACAAATCTCCATTCTCAGCCCTGAGGAACACGATAGAGTCGCCTGCGACAAGCTTCTTCTGGTTCACGAAATTGCTCCATCCAGTGGTCAGCAAGTGCCGGCGAGGAGTCCCCCTGTAGATATGCCGGAACTTCCACGTCTCGCCGTGCACGTCCTTCGCGATCACGGTCTGAACCGGAGGATCAGCCGAGTAGTCAAGCCTTGGGAAAATCGTCTCGGCACAGTACCGCGGCACCGAAAAGCCGCCGCCATTGTTAGCGTCGGATTGAGTCAGCGTCTTCGCAAAGGAGGCCGGCTTCTCGGGGTTGTCGGATCCGGCCGCCGCCTCCAAGGCCCTGTCGTCCTCGAAATCGAGCTCGGTGTTGGGCAGAGGGACGAGCCTGAGCTTGGCGAAGACCTCGTCCGATTCGGGGTCGGCCAAGAACTTGACGGAGGACACACGGCAGAGGATGAGGGGCGGGACGCCGGAGGAGCCGGCAAAATCGACAGCAGAGGAAGCGTGCTCGGCGTGGCCCTGAGAGAAGTAGAAGACTCTGGAGTTCACTGGAGGCATTTGGACCATCCCTCCCGCGCACGCGTGCCATAGCTGCGGATCCAAGCTCCTCTCTGGTTCCTTCAAGACTGTCATTTCTTGCTTTTCACTCACAGAGCTGGGGGTTTCTTGCTTCTTCTTTTTTTCCGTTCTTTATACTTCGTCGTGACAGCGAGATGGAGAACGAGGATCAAGGTCGATTTTGCCGAAGGAAACACTCACAACAACCTGAGAAATTTGAGGGAAGACACGAACCCATATGAAATAAGAATGCAAGAGAAGCGAAAAGATGAGAGCTTTTCTTTGGCTGAATTGCACGATGTAAGGAAAACAAAGAAGAAGAATTTTTTGTCCATTACCTCCAGACTTGTTCAGGACAACGGAAAACCATCAAAGGGGTCGTTGAACAAGGAGCATCCCCAAGGTTCTCTCTTGAATCGTAGGCCGAAGAAAGAAGAAGCAGGGCGTCTTCTTGTCGGTGCATGTACCCTCACTTTTCCAGAGGGAAAAAATTGAAAAGGCTCTGTGGAGATGAGGGAGGGGGGGAAATCAGTGAATTCCTGAGGGACCAACAGGGGAATACAACAAGTTTAAGGCGCAGGGAACCTCAAAAAGGCACAAAGATGGTATGTTTATGGCTAAGAACAGGGTAAAACTTGCGTTTCCACTTAAAAAAGCGAAAACTTTCTGCAAGCCCACTGAGCCCGTGACAAGTCACAGGCTCTGAGAGATGGAGAGAGAGAGTTAATGGGCGATCAGAGCGTAGCAGCAGCTGCTGCTAACTTCAGTAGCGAAATACAAAAAAACCCCATCTGATGCAGAGACAGAGAGAGGGAGGGAGAGAGAGATAGAGATAGAGAGAGAGAGAGAGAGTTTTGGGTTGGTCTGTATCTGGTTTTTGATACGTTTTTGGCACATTCGCTAGACTCCAAAAGAGACCAACACCCACCCTTTAATATACAACTCGACTTCTCTCTCTCCCTCCCTTTACCCTTTACCCTTTACCGCCTTTTGTTGGTTCCCCTCTTCTCTCTCTCTCCGTCCTTTCTCTCAGATCTTTCATGAAATGAGTAAGCCAGCTCTCGTCTTCTCCTTCCTTCTCTCTCTCTCTCTCTCTCTCTCTCCCTCTCGCTTTCTGTCGAACAGGAACAGAACAAACAGAGACGTCCTCTATCAAAGGCCAGAAGACGTCATTAGTTTATCAACCCCGCGGAATTCATTTGCTTCGTCCCCCAAACTGATATTTTATTTGATGCGACAAGACGAGATGATGCCGCCACTGTACTGTGTCGCGCCGCGATGTCCCGTGATATCTCGCGGGTTCTTATCCTCTTTCACGTTCGGAGACGTAGAGAGAGAAGAGAGAAGAGAGAGCGCGTTTGCGAAACAGGGTCGCTCTGAAATCAGAGCAGCATGGAAATGGTAAAAATGGAGGAGGAAAAGGAGGATAAGACAGAGAGGGAAGAAACCAGGGTTAAAAGGATGATGGCCTTTTGTATCTAGTCCTAACTGTAGTCCACTACACTCGGTTCCATAAATTCCAGGGAAAAAGACACAAGTAAAACTCCACGTTACACGTGTAACGACACGTCTACCTTAAATTTTCTTTTTACATCAAAAATCTCAAATTATACTTATCTTGATACATTTATCCCGAACCTTGTAACATAAAGGGTTACATAAAAAGTGTCACATATGTACCAGTTTGGGGTTTTTTTTTGGTAAGTTCAGGGTAAAATTATCACAGATGTACCAGTTTGGGATTTTTTATGGTCAAAAAAATAGTTCGGGGTAAAATTGTCACAGGTGTACCAGTTTGGGGTTTTTTATGGTAAAAAAAAAATAGTTTGGGGTAAATGTGTCACAAGTGTACAAGTTTAGGGTTTTTCGTGGTATTAACCCTAACATAAAAAGACCTCAAATTTGAGGTTTTTTGTGACTTTTGCCCTAAATATTAAAACGGCAACCAAAACGGATGGGCCTAGAACCGAACTTACCGATTTCCAGGTTTACTTGAGATTCATTCTCATTAACTAAATGGGATAGTAAAAACCAGTTCAATTCCGGAATCGCACGAACAAGCTGGTTCATTGTAGGGGTGTGCAATCGAACCGCGTTTACTCGGAAATTGGACCGATCCACCCGAAAAACAGGTTCGCGAATTGGTTCCATTTTTTGGGAACCAGTTAGAACCGGTCCGATTTTCGGTTCTAAGTAAAAACCCACCCGGACCAGTTTTAGAATCGGCTTTATATGGAGGTCCACTTGCAATTTTATATGGCCATAATTCAAAACATTATATCAGGAAGGATGATGGAGGTGATCATTATTTGCGGATAGTCTAACTCAAGGGCTTGTAAACATTATAGGGAGCAATTTCCTTTTTCTTAAAATTTTTATTCTGTAACGAAGAAACCACGTATCCAATTGGAACATATGTTGTTTTATCACGTCCATTAAATTATTGAGACTAAAATAGTATGTTTTTGTATGAATACTTAAGATTATTTGCACAATCAAACTTATAACCTTTTATTTGAGTTATACGTTTTCCTATTTACTACCTAGAAAAAATGAAACCAAAAAAAGGAACAAAAAAAAAAAGGTTCTCGGGTAGACCCTGCAACCGAATCGAAAAAACAGGGTAGATTTCAAAACATGATCCAGGATAAACAAGATGGGTTCCAGGTTCCAAAAACTAAGAACCAGTTATAACATGATCGGTTTTAGGTTCCAGGTCTGGAACTGATCACCCCTAGTTCATTGAGTGAAATGGCAGCTCCTATTATTGAATCGAGTACCGAATCACTTTTTGACTAGTTTTGGATATGGGGAATTGGGAACTAGCATTGAAAGGGATAAACCAATTCGATTTCTATTAGTTCTCATATTGAATCGGGTCGGTTGCATATGTGATTATTAAAAGAAAAACGATTAAATTTAATTATAAATTTTCGTGAATCCAAGGAACAAATCTCATGCTAATCTAATATTTTCCAACGACGGTTATCTGGCCTCATGGTAACATGGGATCTTAGAATTTTCATGACTATAGATATTAGATTTTCGCATCCATATGTCGTGGTAGTTTCTGGCTAGATGTATGTTGTGCATAAATTTTGAATAAATAGTTGCACAAGTTTTTATTAAAAAAAAAAAGCTCTGGCAAATTACATGCACTGGATTAATCTTTTTGTTTTCCAACGCACTATACTAATCTAGCGAGTCATAAAAAAGTTAATGGGACAGATTCAAGATAAGACTGGTCGTCCCCCTCCCCATCTCATCACTACCTTTGGACGGGGCTGATGCCGAACTAGCCCATCCTTCGCATCCTAGCCACTCGCGAGCGAGCCTCTCCGTTTTGAAGACGAAAAGAGTCCCGTGGTTCGATTGATAGAGTCTATGGAGAACCTTTATCCAATTAACCTAAAAATCACATCGAGGTACCTCGATAACGAATCAAATCGACATGAATATAAAGACACGATAGGGGTTATCGAGTCTGATCACATTATACATGATCAATCAAATTCTAATTCCTCGGTTCTCAATTGAAAATATTTCACCTTCGAAATCTCTCGACTGTACTACGGCATATAGTTTTTTTTTTTTTTCAATTAGGACGCCACCAGTGTCGCATTCTTGCCAACGACACACAAGAAAACTCTCTTTCGTGGCCAATGAGGTCGCTTTAGTTTCAATTCAAGCTTTCATCAAACATGTCATGAGACAATCACATGCTTTTCTCCAAATATTTGACGTCCGTACATTACCTGTGAAATTTTTTTTTGTATCTCCCTTTAACTTCTAGTCGAAATAAAGTTGTTATTACTCATAGAAAATTGAATTTCCGCAATCACGGATGTTTCTTAGAACGCGAGTAACTTTCGCTCGCCCGATTAAGCGTTAGCTTGTTTGATGTAGATAATTGACATGCATAGTGTACCTATCCCCAAATGGGATTAGCCATAGTCTTGTGGAATAATACTAATAAAAAAATTTCATACAGCTTGAATTGCCAAAAAAATTGAAAAATTTTAATTTTCATAAAAAGAAAGTCAATCGACGAGCGTTTCGGAACAATGAGAAAAAAAAAGAGAGAGGAATTTACGGTCTTTAATGCACTATCTTTTCCATATAAATTGTAATTAGTTTACAATTAAAATCTTTTGCTAAAAACATATTTAGCCCGCGCCTCGAAAAGTGAGAAAATTATCGATTCGGTCATAAATTTATTATACTTATGTCAATTCAATCCTAAATTTTCTAAATTTGCCCGTGTGGTCCTAAACATTCGCGCAAAAATTCCGACACAGTCATTCCGGCTAATTGCGGTCGAAAATCACTGAGGGGCTGTCCACGAAAGACGTCATTTTCAGCAAAGTTGAGCCAGCAACGACCGAACAATTTTATATTGTAAATAAACCCATAGCACTCTAAATTCTCCTTAGTTTCTCCTAGAATGATCTCTTCTTATTAGGATCTTGTTGTTGGTTAGGAAAGGTGATATGACCGAGTATGCTCTCCGCTTGCCACAATGTGGAACCTGCGGATCAGAAAATCTCTAAAACTTAAATGTTTAGTTAGAGAAGCAAGTTAGGAGACTAAGAAACAGTCCCCTTAAATGGCGAAGTGAAGCCTATAGTCTAGGGATAGCATATTTGTCTCACTTGATCTTTTTCGATAGACAATGACAAGATTGAAAAGTTTAAATCTAAATTGATATTCGCACGAAAAATTTAGGACCGACTCGGGATCTATACCTCTTGAAAAGCCATTGACAAGATTGTGCTGTTCTTTTCATTTCATGAATTGGCTACAAAAAGAAGCAGAAGAAGAAGAAGAAGAAGAGGGAATAGGAATAGGATAGGATGCAGAAATGGGGTCAATGGGCCAGACAAACATCGGTGGGTATTGAAACAGCTGCAAGGACGGGGGGGGGGGGGGGTCGTCTTTAATTAACTCAAAGTTTGTCGCAGATGAGCAGTGTCCTTCTGTTGTCCTCACCCATAATAGGCCACAGTCTTCTGTTAGTGTACGCATCATCTTTAATTTCACCTTTCTCCAGTTTTAGGAAAAACGACATCATCGACCGTCTATAAACTTTGACCTAACATGAAATATAATTTATAAATTTTTAATTTGTTCAATGTAATTCCTGAAATTTAACTCAATGTGTATTGTAATCCATGAACTTTTAATTTATTCAATACCATCCTTGAACTGTTCAATTTAGTCATTCAATTAATTTAAGTTCATGAATTATATTGAACTGAACAAATTAAAAGTTCATGGACCACATTGGACATTAGGCTAAAATTTAGGGATCACGTTGCACATTGGGCCAAAGTTTAGGGACTATTTGTGTCGTTATCCCCCAATTTTACTATTATTCAAAACTATTGACTTTTTTTAGTATTAAACCCCGAAGCTATATATATTAAAGCCTGAATGATGTTGCTTTTCACTTAATGCTGTGTTTGGAAAAAAACAAGGGGGCAAAAAATAGAGGTAATCTTTAAAAAAAAAAATCCGTGATGCAAGGATTTGGGTAAATACCCACACAAATACGAGCTAATTAAGTTCGATTACCTTTTCTGATGTACTTTAACATTAAGTTTTGCCTGTGGTCTACCTTGTATCTCGTTCATTTTTTTCAAATCACGTGATGCGACAAAATTCAATAAGATAGTGGATATAAGGAGTTAGTGATCTCGGGAATACTACCGCTAGGGTTCGATTAAATGAGAGTCTTACTTCTCAATAGAGTCTCTAATTCTTCTAATTATCATTATCTATATAGAAGGAGAGAATTTTTGAACATTTTCGGAATGATGACCCATTCGCAAGCCGCAAAGAGACGAAAATTCAAAATATTTCGACATAATTGATTTGAATATCATTAGAAAAGAGCCAAAAATACATTTTATATTGGACATGCAATA